TGAAATTTTAGATATGATTTTTTTAACTGCAGATGCATCCTTTGATGTATTTTAGGCAAGAATTTTTTTTTAATTTATTGAAATAAATTCAAATGAGAATTTATTTGAATAAATGTAATATAATTATTTGTTTATCTGCATCTGTTAAATAATTTCTAATATTGTATGAAAAGGGTTTAAGTGGTTAAATAAAAAAATATGGAATTTCTTAAAAATCTGATTAATCAATTGTCAGAATGATAGATTATTCACAAGAACAAACAATCATCAGAATAAACAGTTCTTGAAATAATTAACAGATTAATTGATAATTAAACTAATTGTTATTTGCAGCGCTAAAAGATTTAAACATTCCTGGGGACTCGCCTCAGAAAAGGTTTGCTTGTTGCGTGACTCTCGTCAGAAGGTTTCGTCGTTCCTTCAGCACAAACACAGGCAGCTGCTGCAGCTGCTGCAGCAGCTGCTGCAGCAGACAGAGCTAATCACCTCCTACTATAATTTTAAACATTTATTAAATGTCCACATTATCCACATATGAAGTCATGTGCCCCTGGGGATCTGTGTGATTTCCTCATTAACTTCTCGAAATGCAATGAGTCACGGACCCGAGTTCTGTGGCTCTATTAATTATGACCCGTCGCACAAGCTGCTCACCATGGAAACCCCAAGTCCTGCCTGTCACCACGCAAACGATGAGGGTATGAAGAGGTTTTCTTTTTTTACATCATGCAGCCGGCGGAAACGTCTCTCCCCTCAATCAGGCCTGCTGTGGCGCTGATGTTTTAGCTCCCTCTGCTGAGGATTACCGGAAGATCAGAGGAATGTGGACCAGCACTGCAAAAACACAAAGTCTTACTGAGGATGCTCGTCTAGTTCTGGTCAAATAGCTTATTATACTTGCAATAAGACAAAACTAACATACAACTGACTTTTCAAAAAGCTATAGCAGCTTGTTTTAAGTCATTGACAGATTATTTCACTTATAACAAGACATTATATTTTAAGCATCTTTCAGTGGAACGAATTCTTTTTAAAATCAACATTAAATAATTACCGACTCAAATATTGCTATATCTTGCTGAAAAGTTACTTCTAAGTTTGTTTTGTCATATTTTATGTACTAAAAGATTAGCATTGGAAACTAGACAAAAATATTTCATAAAATGTTGTTTTTTGCAGTGCATTGCAGAAATACTGAATACTTATTCACCTTTTTCACTGCCTTATGATAGTCATACAAAAGACAGTGTGTTTGAAATGATAAACTCCAATAAACTTAATTTAGGTACATTTTTAGAACCACATTCTTTACAATTCCTTAATTAGATTTAGGTTTGGACTTTGACTGGACCATCCTAAACAATATAAATTAGAGTCAACAATCTAATCCAAGTTCAGATTAACTCTAAATATTCAGCTACACTGCAAAAACACAAAGTCTATTTTTGGTCTAGTTTTTAGTGCAAATACTTTAGAAAACTTAAAATAAGAGAAAAATCACATGTAAAGCTGTAGGAACTTGTTTTAAATCAATAGTTCCTTAATATTGATTTACAGAAGTACTAGTTCCAGAGGGAGATAATTTCACTTACAGTAAGTAATTTTCCCCATGCTGTAAGTGAAATAATCTGGTCTATATTCAATATTATTAACTTAAAACAAGCTCCTGTGTTACTGGAAAAGTAGTTTATAAGATGTTTGTGTTTTTGCAGTGGGATGCAAACCAGACACCTGAACATTTGGCACCAAAATAAAGCTTACATGCAGAATAACATATATAAACAAACCTTGTGCGCCTTCTTCCCAAACACTGAGGAGATGTTATATGTCCGTTTCATCCGTTTTTAAAGCTTAAATCCAAGCTAACGTGTCTGTAGCCTCAGCTAGCATCAATGTTTGCTAATCAACACATTTCCACCAACATGTCAGAAATACAACAAGGAAGTTATAATTGTAGTATTTACAAAGAAAATGGCATTAACTATAAACGAACACGGTTTTTTCTCTCTGCGACAACCACCAGGAAGTGGCGATAGTTTTCTTCTCAGGTTTTTGTGTCGTTTCCTTCAGTGGTTCTTGGTGCAGCGCCCCCACAGGCGAGGAGGGGAACAGCTTTTTCTATGGGTTTGGTTTGTTTGACAATGCGGTGTGAAAGCGAACTGAAATGTTGCACTTTTGGCCCCCAATTAAACCAACAACCTCGGTGAAAACACTTTAAAATCAGTTGTGCTGATTACTAAAAGATTTAGTAAAGAGCTAAAAGTCGGACAACAAAGGTTTGTTTAAGGTTCTACATTTTCTCCCTTTTCTATATAAAAATACCTGATAAACCCTAGAGAGAAATTCAGTGTTTTCACATTGCAGTCATAGAAAATGACAATAAATAAATAAAAGTGCAAGGTCATTTGTGTACTAAAATACACTAAGTAATTAATTAATTAAACCTGAATCCCCAATCACTCTCTAAATTAAATAAAATTATAATAAAGATATAAAATGAAATAATAATACAAATGTATAAAAGACATGCAAGGACAGACACTTGGTAAGAAAAAAAATAATTGTTGTTCATAATATTAAAAAAATAAAGTCAATTTTTGCATTATTTCAACTTTATTCTCTTAATTTTAGAAATTATTCTCAAAATTTTATTTCTTTATTATATTAATACTCCATCATACAAGTTTGAAGAACATTTTCATGAATAGCTTTAAAAGCTCGTGTAAAGTTGTGCGTCACAAATGGGGTTCCGGTCAGAGAGTGGGCGTCCACATGTTGACCTCGATGTAACCAGCTATGAAATATCTGCAGCAAAGTGGCAACTAATTGAATATAATGTGGCTATTAGCATGCAAAGTCTCTCTCTCATTATGTGCAGTGACAAACAGGAGTCTAGTAATGGCGCGTTTACATTCGGCCTCCACAACAGAGTGAGGAAGAGTTAATGAGCGGAGAGGTTTGCATTGAAAAGTGGTTTATTTACAGAAAATGTCATGATTTTAACTGAGACTTGTGCTCCTATCGGGGATGCACTTGGCATTTTTCTCGTTTCCTTGTTAACCAGCCGAAGCAGAAAGCTCGCCTGCAGCTCTCAGTAATGCACTGGATTCAGACCAACTTTCTGCATCACCAATTACAGGCTTTGTGTCTAAGTGGCCGAGCGCGGAGGCTGCCAAATAAAACCTCATGACTTCTTCATCTCTTCTCATCTTGGCCTGTTTTTACTTTGACATGAATCAAAGCATCAGGAGCAATTGCTTCCCAAAAGAACAAAAAGAGACCAAGCAGATGATCACTATGGAAATAACTTGATCCGTGGACAAACGCCAAAATAAAACTCAGACGTCTTCATAAAAGAGCTGGCAGAGGCTTCCCTGCAGAGGGACAAAATTTGATTCGTCATCCCTCAGAAATGTTCTTCTGCTCGCTGGAAGTAAGATAAATGGTGATCTCCTTAAAAGGAGCATTATTTATTACACTCCAGATATATGCTTCCATATGCGAAACAAAAATTTTTATACTTAAAAACCACCCAGCTGTTTCCTGCTGTCTGGAAAATGAGCAGTTTCAAAAACTGCTCAAAATTTGTGACCTAGCAACCCAAACATTGGTCCCAAGTTTGGTCAGCTGGTTGAAGACAAGTGCTTTGTTGTTGACAACCACTTCCTGCATTCTTGTTGGTTGTGCAGGAGGCCCTAGTTCTGCTTTTCCAGTTGTATAATCGTGCATCAGTTCGCAGCCATTTTCACATGCCAGTGTAAAGGTTGACAGCGTGTGGCCATTGTTTCATTCATAGCACAAGGAAAATGTCTTGGTATTCATAAAATAATCTGCTATTAGTAGAGGCACATTTTTTTGTACCAACATTGAGGAATTAATGACAAGATCTTGCAGAAAAGTAACTTGTACTTTAGGGATTTTTTTTACAAATATAAATAAGGCTTTCATATAAAAGGAAACATCTGTTCCATGTCTTTTAATAAAAAGTAATTTTGTTGCACTGAAATCTTTATTAGTTTACTAGACTTGGCTCAACAACAAGGGTTTTTAAAGACTAATTCAAAACTTGTTCCAATTCTGTTTATTTCAATTGAGTTCATACCTGTAAGCTTTTCTTTTTATAGTGCGAAACCTTTTTCACTTACAGATTTTTCCACATAGAAAACTCATCCTGTTTAGCTTAAATATTGCGTCCTCACATCATTGGTCTTAATCTAAATCTCTGACTCCAATTCTTAAAACTTATATATTTTTTGCTCTTGAGAACTTTTGACTTAATTTTAGCCAAAGATAAAAAAACAAAAACAAAACTTAAATTCTGGATTTTCCTAATGTTGTAGGGGTTTATTCCACCTTATAGCAATTAAGCATAATGCTGGACAATAAATCAATAGCAATATATAATGATACATCTGATCAATATAAATTTTTATAGAATGTGAGATAATTTCAACAAACTTCAAGCCAGAAACACAAAGCATTCTGGGGGATGTAGGCAGAGGAAAGACTTTAGCTGATTCTAAGCTAGCCTGGTGGAATGATTTGCAGCAGTTTATCCAGTGTGGAGTGAAAATATGACAAATAGGGAAAAGGTCACGCAATCAGTTTGGCTGCATTTCAGATATTTAAAACAAAAAAGTTAATAATTATAATTATCCAGCCCTAATTATTAAAAGTTTCTATGTTCACTTCTCTATTACCTGAAACTGTGTAGTGAAAAAAAAGCAGCAACAAAAATGTCTTGAAGTGTGAAAATCCCTTCCAGGGGGAAATCGTCACCTCCATTTCTCCAAACCAAAACAACTGGCTCTGCTCTCCTGCGCTTCTTTCTTTTGCTGCAGTTGATGTGAAGGCAGCGTCACTTCGGCTCACCTGAACGGCGGCGCGGCAGGTGGTTCTGCTGACATCTGGCTCCGTGTCGGATCGAAACACAAGCTCAGGATCCTGAGGGGACCGACGCCATGATGCTGTCACACACATAAAATGAACACACCTGCTGCTGTTTTTAGCATCGGAGTTTATTTCCAAAAGACATGAAGAGTTTACGAATGTATAATTCTCACATGACAAAGATAAAAAGTACAAACATGTATATATAGAGAGGAGTAGCTAAGCAAGGCAAAGGAAGCTTTTAATGACAGGCGTTTCCTTACTTTGGTAAAGACTGTCTCTGTTTTACAGAAAGTCTGTTAGCTCAATCTTGAACACTGTAAAAAAGGAAAAACAAATCTTACAGGATTTTACTAGTGAAAATCTCTCAAACGAGAAATAAGAAACTCAAGTAACATGAGCAATAAATGAGCTTGTTTTAATAAAAAGATTCCTTAGTGTTGATGAAAAAGCACAAGTTCAATGGGCAAATTATTTCATTTATAACATGAGAAAAATGTCTTGTTATAAGTGAAACAATCGGCCATTTTAATGTGTTTTCATTGATATTATGGAGTTATTGATTTAAAATAAGCTCTTATATCTTGCTGAAAAGTTACTTGTGAGTTTATTGTCTTCTTTCAAGCATCCTAAGAGATTTGGATGAAAAGCTACTTGGTAAGATTTTGTGTTTTTGCAGTGAAAAAAAGCCAGAAATATGGCCATTAATCTGATGTCATGGCGACGATTAATCTTTGCAAACAGCAGGCGACACATTCAGCTTCTTTTCCATGAAGCGGTGATGGTTGAGCAGAAAGAGATTTTATTGCCTAAAATGCAATAATACAGCAATTAGTGAATTTGAACCAAGTGAAGCTAAAACTATGAGAAGTTTTGGGTAAAATGCATTACAGACAAAGTTGTTTTTAATCTTAAATGCAAAATGTTAATATATTTTGTAGAGTTTCGGGTTAATTACTGCTCTGAGTGTTTGTTTATTCAGGAATTTTTTGAATGTTGATTAATCGGCATTAAAGACAAACATAAAAAAAGTTCCTTCTGGAAAAGATTCTCAGATTTTAAAACGTTCATGCTGAAATGTTTCGCTGCACTGAAGGAGATTTTTATCAGAACAGTGATGCTGTTTCTGCAGAAACCTAAGAAAATGTAAACCAAGAAAACCAACATATTCTGCAGGACGAAATGCACAAAATGTTTAAATTTCTGAGTTATGGTAAGAAAGATCTGAACTTCCTTTGGAACCTGTGATCAACTCCAAGTGCAGAAAACCAGAATGTGTCGCCATTAATTAGGATTTAGTCCAAATGTTTCATTTACTTTGTCAGACAGAACACCAGGTATGAAGAAGAAGGCTCAACACTTTATGAACTGCATCTTTGCATAAATTGTGTTTATTTTCTCCTAACAGTCTTTGGAAACATGAAAATGTTTGTAATTATTCTTCTCATTACTGTAGAAATCTGCTGCTTATTTGGAGACGTTATGGAGAAATAAAGCGATCAGAGTTCATATGAAGCTCCATAAAGAAGAGAGAAGCTGCAATAATTGACTGGTTTATGTGATTGTTCCCTTTCAAGCAGCGAAGTGGGAAAGTGGAGGTGAAACGCACTGCAAGTATTAAAACCCACAAATTAAGACGTTTTTAGTGTCCCGTCATTGAAGAGCTTTGTGTTTTGGAAGCTGCAAACATTTCTAACGATTCTCACCTTCACTTCTGCAGCTGCTTGAGTTTTAAAAGCAGCAGAAAAAAATTTAATAGAACAAAATCTGAGTCTTGTTTTGTAATGTCAAACAGCGTGACTTAATACTCCAGCATATGCTTGTCATGGTTACATAAAGGGATTGCTCACTTGTATTTTTGTCTTAAAACATTCATTAAAATCCTTCAGGAGGTTAAAAAAACAACAACTTACAAATCTGTTTGTCAAAATAGGTCAAAAAGGTTTTTGTGTTTGGTTATAATTTCTGATGTATTTTCTAAATGTTTCTGATCAGAACCAGACGCAGCACCGGGTTGTTTGGCCCACATCCATCCTGTTTGTGGAAACTATACGACCTCCACGTAGTTCGCCGGGTAAAGCCCCTCCCAGCCTTCGTCCTTCTTTCCTCGACACCAACCCTGATCGTCCTCATCCTCGATCTTCAGAAACTCCTCACCTGCAGAGACAGAAACTTTTTACTCTCATATTCTGGACTGTTTCCTTTAATTTTCACAGATTTATTTCATAATTGCACCAGATTTATTTAATAAATCTGGTGCAAAAAGGGAAACTTTGAGTTGTCAGGTTAGATAGAAGAGACTGAAAATGGAGGCATTCTACACTTTGATTCTGAAGAGCTTTGCTTCATTTTACACTGAAGTCACTGAAAAGTTAAATCTTTCATTAAACGACTCAAATCTGTTCCATCTAAAGGTGTAGTAAAAAATTAACATCAATATAATATGTTACATTTATGGACTAAACAGACATTGGAAGTTGTGTTTTTGTGTTAACCTCTTTATTGTAACGTGTTTTGAAAGAGAAACAGAATAAACTGACATAATGTTGCTTTAAACTTCTACAAGAAGAATCTCTAATTTTTAAACTTTACTTACATTTTTTTTAAATCTATAAAATAATAATCTTTTTGATTTTGTGGATCACCCAGAGCCTCAAGTAAAAAGCTTGAAGGTTTTCCATTGAATAATGTATAAACCAGTAACATCTGCTGTTTGTGTTTCCAATGATGGAGAATGATGCTGCTGTGATGCTGCATGTTTACCTGCTTTAAAGGAGAGTTCATCCGTCTCCTGACCAACATAATCGTACAGAGCTCTCACTCTCACGCCGCCAATCATCACACTGAGCAGGAAGAAACACAAAGTTTGATCACAGGCAAAAATTTACTCATACATACAACAATACCCCAATCCATCCACAACCAACCAACCCATCCATCTATCCTTCTTTCCTTCCCCCAAAGTGAATAAAATGAGACCTGTCTTTAAATTCCACTTTTTTATTTTATTCAGCAGCATAGCTGCTGAATAAAACATCAAAACTGGTTTTAGTATAAATAAAGTAAGCCAACATTACCGTTGTCCCGATCTGAACAGGATTAGAGGAATGTCTGGATTAAATTTAAACACCAAGAAACCAACCAGTTTGAACTCTGACCCCCTACAGATCCACTAACCTCTTCTCTATTGTTCCTTTCTTTTCCACCTCTTTCTTCCCCTTTTTGCTTTTCTTCTCAGGTGAATAATCCTTTGAAAGATTTGAATAAAGTTTCATTTAAAGCCACAGAACTGAACTTTGCTCTAAAACACATAAACGTTGGAGTGGATGAAACACCTGGAAGTGAGGCCAGTCGGTCGGCATGCCGGGTCCGTGAGTGTTTTTCCACCAGCGGAGATCCTCTTGATCGTCGATGGCCATCAGGGTGTTGTGCAGCTCACTGTACACGGCAATCACACTGAGCGACAAGTGGGGGAGAAGAATGGATCATCGTGAAACAGAAATTAAACAACATTAATCTGATGCAGTATCTCCCCTATTTCCGCCCTGCAGCTGTGATAAATTTTTGAGAACTAATTGAATGGCTGTTTTATCTGTGGTTCTCCATTAAGAGACGTGGAGTCACTGAGAAACACTTGGGCAATAACATGAAGTGGAACAATTTTTTAATAAGGTTGAGCTAAGTTTGATCTAAAGTCACCACCATCATGAACAAACCGTGGAGAAACAAAAACAAATAAATCACAACTACATGTTTGACACATCAGAGAACCAGACGCAACACAATAAAGTCAAAATAACGACAATAAAATCAACATTTCCAATATAAAGTTGTACAAGTATAAAGTTATGAGAATTAAATCATAATATTTAGAGAATAAAGTCAGTTTTCTAATAATAATAATAAAGTTATGTGGATATCATATTTCTAGAAATCTTATATCTTAATTCTCAAGTTTTTTGTTTTATTTTGAAAATCAGGAAACCGGAAGACACTGAGTTAGCACTTCCTGTTTAGCAGTGCACTACTATGGGTTTTTTGCAGCTTTTCTTTGAACGCAGCACAGCCTTTGAGATAATAAAAATGTTTATTTCACACAAGTCAGTATATATTTACAACGTACAACAAATTTTATTTGAATAAATAAAATTATGTGATTATTTAAATGTTGCGTCTGACCTGTTAGCATATGTTAGCGTGTCATTTCAGGATCTAGATGTGCTTTCTTGTTTTATTCTGACCAGTGAGTGCTGAATAAAGCTCAGTAATGAAACCATTCGGGCCTCACCATCGGGTTGGGGCGAGGGCAGCTCACCTCTCGTTGGTGGTGACGTCCAGGTGTTTGTGGATAGACAGGAAGGCTTCTTTGAGGAACACGATCCTCCTCCGCTCCTCCTCCTGGGATTGGTCGAAAACGGACTCCATCTCCTCCATGTAGCGAGGCACGTAGCGGTTCACCTCCTCCAGGACTTTCTCATAGCGAGCGCGGACCTAAGATTCAGCCAAAGCAGCAACAAGTTTCATGTAACTGAAACGATTAATGGTGATTAATTGATTGTTGAAATTATGGTAATTGATTAATCGATAACTGAGTATAAAGACAAAAAAAAGCGTAATACGCTAAAAGAATAACATTTTCAGAGCAGCAAAAATTATACACAGACTATACATTTTATAATTATAAATTTTGCAATTTATTGAATAAAAATGCATAAGTGGTTAAAGAAAAAATTAAAAAAAAAAATTTAATCATATGAATCATCAGAATAATCAATTACTCAAATAATCCTTAGTTGCAGTCTTAAATTAGAGGCTAAAAAATTTTATTTTGACATTTGTTTTTTGTATTTTTTGTGCTTTTAAGTGTTTTTTTAAGTTCTTTTCAGGCAAACCTTAAATGTTTTAACTGTAAATATGATGAATTAAGAAGGAATAAAGATAAAATACAGACACAACATTCATGCTAGTGCACCTTTAAAAGTAGCGAGTCAATAGTACAATAACAGAAAGACAAACATTTTAATTTCAGATTAAAGTTTAATGGTTTGGAAAAGGGTCAAAAAAAAAAAACAAAACTTTAAACACCAACTAATTAGAAAGAAGAGACTTTTACTGCTGTTACAGACAAAAACTGTTTACATGTTGCCCCCCCCATTCAGCCATTAGCCCCTGTTGGTTTTGGAGCACTTGATTTGCTGTTATGAGCCATTTTTATTGCCGAGTGGGAGCTCCGGCTGAACCCCCATCTGTGAAATTAATGGACAACCTGCTGTCCTTCCGCAGCTTTAATCGCGTCAGTCTTCAAAGGAAATTACAGTGTGTATTTAACGCCACACGAGGACTCTGAATTTTGAAGTTAGGAGGCAAATGAGTGGAACAGATGGCAATGAATCACATTTTAAATTAAATTTAAAGTGAAAAGAAAGGGGATGATTATTCACCTTCTCGGCCTCTTGCTGGGCCAGTTCTCGCTCCTCTTGGATCTTTTTCTGCTTGTCGATAGAAACGTCTGGGTTTCCCTGAGCGTGAAAGTCTCTCTCCTTAGCGGCGTGCTCCTTACGGCTCACCTTATGGTACGCCCTCCTGGCTTTGTCCAGCTGTGGACAAAAAATACATAAAAACGGATCATTTGGTCACATAACTGTTGCATAAGGTACGAAAGCATAACTTTGATTAGAAGAGAAGCCAATGTAGCCAAGAAAACCTGTAAAATGAAAATATAGTACTAAACATTGAAGTTATTTTACAGTAATAGTTGAAAGAGATCAATTTCTGCAATCATGCGTTGTTTGTATTCTACAACCAGATTCATTGAGGTTTTAAATAAATCTGGAACTGTGTGGATTCTAGTTTTCACATGTACTTCATGCATCAAGGGTGTTCCTCAAGGCTCTGGACTCAGCCCAGTTTTCTTTGGCAACATGTTTTACAGATATTTTTCATTATGCTGAAACAACTGCACTTTTTTTCATCTCACCTGCAGGTTTCAGAAAATCAAATTTAAGACTATTTGAGCCCTTTATCAAAGAACCTTGAATAAAATTTAAGGCTGAAAAAACTAAATTTAGAGGGATCTTAACATAATGTGCCAAGCTGAGAAGTTTGAGTAGTTTTGCACAGAATGCACATTCAATGTTCTCATGTCCACTGAAAGAGAAAACTACATGATTTGAGAGGCAATTAATACATAAACATAATTCGTTAACAAGAAATGTCATTTACATCAGCTGGGAGGTTTTAATGATACATTGCAAAGGTCAACTTTTTTAAAAGGCCAAGCTCATGGTGACACAGCTCAAGAATGATTACAGTCATTTTCAGAGCAAATATAAAAGATTAAATTCATCATATGCTTAACAACATGAGCTGCAAACTAAAGCAATTAATAAATGTCGCTTTCAACCTCATGGATCAAACTTAATGCAATAATTCAAGCAGGAAGAAAATAATTATTACATGTAAAACAACACTAATAACAGAGTTGGTACTAACTAGTTACATTTACTTGAGTAAAGTTTTTGATAAAATTTGCTTTTAGGGCTATTTTTACTACTCTGTAAATTTACTTTAGCAAAAATAGGTTTGAGAAAAGCTAATTTATGGTTGTTACTGGTAAATTAATGTCAGATAAATTAAGAGTAGCTAAAATCAGCTAAGCTAAGCTCAGCTAAGCTAAAATCGGCTAAGCCAACCTACAAGATCAAATCAGCTTAAATAAGATAAATCAATCCAGTGAACACAAAACTAAAAAAGATAAGATCGACTACGACAAACTGCAATAAAATGACTTGAGGCGGATTTAGTGGATTTAAATAAATTTAAATCCGCTAAACTAAATTAAGCTAACCTAAAATAAGCTAAACCTGCACAGATAAGACAAACGTACCTCAATAATCCTTTAGGAAGCAAACTTTGTTTGACGTAAATCCTTAATATTTTGTATTTCTTCTATTTGAATGACCATTTTTCATTTACTGACATTTTTGACTACTCTATCCATCTCCACAAACCATATTGTAAAAAAATTGGCCCAGTTTAAATTTGATTTTTACCTTCTTAAGCCGTTTCGCCCAGGGCTTCTGAGCGCGTGCAAACCCGGTCTCAATGTCCTGGGACTCCTTGAAGCCTCCAAATAACTTCTTGTGAAAGGTGTCCTTCTGCCAGGTTCTGACCCGGTCTGCATCTTCCGACACCAGGGAGCGACAGATGGAGGCGTGTAACGAGGCCAGCCGGTCGGCGGACGACAGGAAGCACTGCCAAGCTTTCAGTAGTGACCCATATAGAGGACCTAACGGAGGAGCAGAGGGTTCAGCTTTCACTTCATGAGTTCATTATTTGCTTTGCAGAGGCAACACTAACTGGAGTCCACTACTGGTTTCCACTTGTTGCTCCATTCGTCGAGCTGCTGGGCGTACTGCCTCTCCACGCGGGCTCGCTCCTGGAAACACGCCACGATGTCATTGCAGGCCTGGAAGGAATCTTCTGTGCGTTTCACGGTGGGATGATAGTTCCCAGGCTGTCACGACGCAGAAAGGGGAGGAAGAGGAAAGGATGAATGGACGTCAAATCAAACTGCAGTGGCAAATTTTATCTACCAAATTTATTAGATTAAAATTTAGCAATTAATTTTTAGCAAATTTGTATATCAACAAAGATCCAAAACATAAAAGAGTTTCAGATTGTTACTTAAATTAGCCTCTATGAAAAATTAGCTCAGCATATTTATTTTTATTTTATCTGAACATTGGCTTGGATTAATTTAGATTATTATCATATTATATTATTTTAATTTAGCTTACAATATTTTTTTGTCTCATCTTGGAAAACAATTGATGACTCAAAAAATATTGTTTTTATTTCTTTTAATAAGGTTACAACAAAAACAAACCAAGCAATTCTATGCTGATATAAGACAAACAGAAATAAGATAAATGCCTCATTAAAATAAATTTAACCAAAATAAACTCAGACAAATTAAGATAAATTGAAGTATTTTATGGTTATTATTACAGGGAAAATAAGATCAGATAAATTAAGATAAGCTAAATTAGCAGAGGTAAAATCATCTGCCATAACCCAGATTAAGATCAAATCAGCTAAAATAAGAAAGCGACCACCATATGTCGCCGAAAGTTCAGCCATCTGTTAACCTAAGCTAAGCTAAATTAAGATAGCATTTAATAAGATTAAATCAGCTCAATTAAACTCAGCCAAAGTGATCAACCCTACTCACAGCACACAAAAATAAAATAAGATTAACAAAAACATGCTATAAAAAAATTACTTATGGTCAGATCAAATAAAATAAGCTAAATCTGCTAAACCAAATTAAGCTAAGCTAAAATCAGCTACACTAAAGAACCCAGAATAAGATTAAATCATTTAAATTGATGACTCAAAAAAGATAAAATACCTGAAGATCAGATAAATAAGCCTGGGGGAAAATCCGCTAAGCTAAAATAGGCTTAGCTAAAATAATAATTGTTTATCAAACAAAGGTTTGATAAGATAAAGTATACAGCAACCAAATAAAAGATGAGCTAAGATCAAATAAGATAAATTAAGCTACGCTAAATTTGTCTGATTTAAACCAAATTAAGCTAAGCTAACCTAAAATTAGCTCAATCTGCACAGATAAGAGAAGCTCACCTGAACAACCCTTCAGGAAACAGTAAACTTTGTTTAATACTTTCTATTAACAAAAATTACAAACCATTTTAGTCAAGTGACCTCCTACTAGCGCCCTTTGACCCCATTTCCTGTGGTGAACTGACCATAAAAGGACCACAGCATGTGGCCCAGCCCTAAGCGCAATAACATATCCGCAGCACTTCTGTTGTTTGTAGATGTGGAATTTGGAAATATCTGCTTTTTTCCTGGCAGCCGCCACCAGCTCCAGCTCCGCTGCGCTCTTCACTTCCTGTCAGACTCTTTCAGCCACTGACACGAGTCGACAGCTGGTTAAAAGGACACTGTTTGTTAAATCATCGAGCTGCCTGTAAATACCGACCTGTGAGCCGGTCCGTCTGACTGCCGCGCCGGTTCAACAGATGTTCCTAATCACGCCGGTGACGCAGCGCCTCTCGGTGGAGCTGCACACTTTGGCACTCACTGGCCTACAGCTAATAATAGCCGCCATATTGAATTCCAGGCATGTAAATAATCCTCAATATGTCTGCAAAGATATGGAGTTAATCAAAGACATTCTACTCTCTTTACTACACTAATCCTTCCTTATTGTATTCGATAGTGAACACTCAAATCTCTTATTTAGCAAGTTGTGTTATATCCTCGTTTTTAATTGAAACCACTTGGGGTCTTTTGCATCCATGCCCACCTCTTCCCTCTCTTTTTCTCCCCATTTATTCCTTCTTTTTCTTTGCCTCTGTAGTGGTTTCCAGCAACTCTCCTTTTCTTTTTCGTCTGCATTAAGCAGAAACAGCTGAGGAATCCGGTTCGAGGCCAACAGCAGCGCTGCAGAGACCCAGTTGGCAGATCTGAGGCAGATCTAATTCTACTACAGCCAACAAAAAGACGTGTCCAACAAAGACAACCATGCGTGTCAAATTACACAAAATATACAACACAGCATTTAAACTTACAGTACTGCAGGTTTGTGTGATAATCATTGTGATTATTGATTTTCCTCAAAATATTGTTTGAAACATTTAGTCAAGAACTAACTAGCATGTTGAAGAACTGCAGGATAACAAAATGTTGCATCGTGTGAACAAGTGACAGCAACCAGTGGGGGATAAAAATCTCATATTTTATGGCTCGAAATATTTTATTTCTATACTTATTACATTTTTGTATTCTTGGTGCCTAAAGTCCAAACTGAACTTGGAAAGAAACCTTTCAGCTTTCAGTTGCAGAATTACATGAACTTAAAGGTGTTGTTGTCCAACTGTTTTAAAGTTTGTTCTTACTGATTTTGAGAAGTAATAATCTGTCTGTAAATGTTTTACCTGAGGAATATTTTAATTAATTTATTATGGTTTTAATTTGTTTTAGTTTGGCTGTGATCATTCTGTAAATTAGGATTTTCTTAAGAGATTTTTAATATCAATGGGATATTCCTGGTGAAATAAAGATTAAATAATTCTTAACACAGCAATTAGAGATGATTTTAGTTTGTCTGAATCAAACTAAACGTTTGCAAACTTGGTCTACTCTGTTTCACATTTGCATCGTACTGACAGGCGGCTGTAAAGCGTGGCAGCAGGATGACAGACAGGAAGTGGTCTGGAAACACAAAAACCCAACGGGAGCCTTCCTAAATTACAGGAGGAGAGAGATCAAAGTGGGGCAGCCCCAGTGATCCCAGTAAACTGCAGCAGAAACCAGTCCAAACACTCAATATTCACCCACGATCAGTTACAACCTGGTTTAAAAATATGACATGGTTTAGATTTTCTTTGTTTTCTTAAATGTCTTAAATCATGTCAAAAACTAATTACCCCCTAAACCTGATAAGCTTTTGTATGAGTTTTGTGTTTTACACCAATGTGGAGAAAATTTGTCTCTTTTTTTGGCCAAAATTGTTTAAATTGAGCCATAATAGAAGATTTGCAAGCATTACTGGGCGATTTAAAGGAGAACTATTAAGGGAAGTTAACTTTCTTTCTTCTTTTTGGGTCTCAAATGCTTATAAAATTAACCCAGGCACTTAATAAAAAAAAAAAAATTCAAACCAAAAAAACTTGTTTTATGACGACAAGTTCTTATTTTTTAGTGTCTGAAAAACAAGCCATTTCAGAAACCTCCAGATTGTTAAGTCACATTCACTGCTCCGTTATCTAACAACCACATGAATTCCACACATCACCAAGCAACTCAAGTGGAGCTCCAGCATGTTTGGTCAGCTGGTTTTACTGCAGTACAATGGCTGCTGGAAAAGACAAGAGTTTTGTTGTTGACATACCATCCAGAAATTACTTGCTGCTTTCTTGTTGGTTGTACAGGAGGCGCTTCATTTATAAAGCAAAGAAAAGCTGTCGTAATATAAAAATTCTATTAACTAGAGTTATTTTTTGTTGGATATTAAAAATCATTTTATGATGACGTTTTATTGAAATGCACAGTAATGAACTAATTCAAGCGTGTAACTTTCACCTTTTTGTGTAGAAAACAGTGAAAATTAAATCCTGTTTAAATATGCAGCACTGCTGCAAGTAAGCACAAGATTTGCCTAAATTAATCATAAAAAAAACCTTCTAATTAAGGAAGTTCTGAAAGCCTAGCGGTTACTGTTGACATTTAAAAGTGGAGATGAAGCCTAATTTCTGAAGGTCTGCTCCTTGAGCAAGAAAACTATTTGTTCTGTTTTGACTGGAAGTAACACAGCCTTCAGACTGAGAAAGGGAAACCATATCTCCCAGTCCCCTTGCACTGCGCGCGCGCACTCACACACACACACACACACACCACACACACACACACACACACACACACACACACACACACACACACACACACACACACACACACACACACACACAAACACACACACACACACACACTGCACATACCATCCAGAAGCTGCGATGGTTGACATCTTCGGGATTGTTTTCTGATGAGGACGTCGACATCGTGGTCTCTGGGAAGGTAAAAAAGCATCTCTGATTAGTTCTGTGTTGTCATTCTGCATGTTTATCTGAAAACTGATTCTGAAAAAAAAAAGAAACAGTTTAACTGCACCCAGAGGAACATTTTTATACAAAAGTGGTTCATATACAACAAAATAAAACAGGAAGTACATTTAATTCATTTTAAGTCTTTATTTTTATAGTATTAACATTTAAGATGTAGCTTTATAACCATATTTATTTAATATCTCTGACATCAACCATAATTTCTGCCTGCTAGATCAAGACTTTGTATCGTAAATTGGGAAATTACACAACTAGTTAAATATTTTGCTGAACTAGTTAAAAAAGACAAATGAATAACACATTGTCCAACTCGTAAGAAAAATATCATTATGCTCTAATTTGCAGTTAGACAAAAAATAGCTTTGAGATACTTAGCTTGTCATAACAGAGAAAAATACGTTTATTTTACAGTCACCATTTTAATCATTCATTTATAAACGTCACATAAGTAACTTAGTACTTAATTTCTGAGCTAAATATTTAATATACAAACTACATGTTTAACGCAGATAACTATTTAGCTCTAAATAGTTAGCTCATGCTAATTCAGTTGCCGATAATCGGAAGTGAGCGACAACTACCAAAATAAAAGCGGAGTAACTTCTGCTGGCGTGGCTGATTCGCATCTAATGTTGCTCGTGTAATCGTTGTTTCTTTTCCTCTCGTCATACACAATATTTGAGCTTAAAACACAACATGACCCGTTTTATTGGCATTGCTGACGTCTACAGCAACACTCCTCTTATTTTGAAAGTCCACTTCCAGGTTAACGGCAAGTGATTTGTCCTATTAGCTAAATATTTGGCTGGCGAGCTAAATGGTTAGCTTCAAACGAAATATTTATTACACTCACGAATTAAACATTCAGTTTGAAACTATGACATTAATAAATGAATACATAACATTGTTGAAAATAAGTCTTTAAAAATATTCACCACTTTCCTCTCTTATGACTAAATAACCCAAATTATTGCTGTTAATTTTTTGACTAGCTTTACAAACCCTCACCATGGTCCACATGTGTCAGACTGTCATACTGGGTTAAAACATTGACTAATGAGTCATGAAACCTACTGGTTTCCCTACCAGTAAAACTTTATTGGCCACTACTCATTTTTCTACCATCACAGCAGAAATACTGAAGTTAAACTACAAGATAAGAGCTACTGCCAGTATAGAGTATATTTTCCATGCAGCTCTCTTTATCCAACATTTTCTAAATGCAACTCTAAAACTTTAAACAACTATTCAAAGCATCAGCTGACAGAATGCCATTTCTCACTTCACCAGGCAATCAGAAATCCAGCTTACAGACCATTGCTCTCCGTTAGGGTCGGTATGAGGAAACACAGCTGCTGCAACACATGTCAGTCCCTGGATCATATAGTGGAGGTTCTGTGTGCAAGATAAAGAGCTGGAGCTCTGTTGGAAGATGATTTGCGTTGTAAATTTGAACCTCGGGGCGAGCTTTACAGTAAACGGGAGGCTGCTAATAATGATCTCTGACGACTACACTGAGAAAGGAGCCTCCCAGCATTCCCAGCTTTGCAACATGAGCCATCCGAAAATAAATTGGGGCTATGACCAAACTCATCCCATCTTTCACAGCCGCTTGTTTACAGTTGTGCACATGCATCTTTTTCTACAAACACAAATAAACAGTATTTGCAGTCTGAAGATACAGAAATGAGGTTAAACATTTAAAAACGTCACTTAGTGCCAGGACATCTTCACTACTTGGAAAAGAGACATGCAACAAGTGGCAACAACACAAGTGTTACACTGTAGAGTGGGAGTAATTCACACACTAAACACATTTTGCATCAAGGTTCTCCAAGTTTCTTGTTGATTACATTAAAAAAGGCCTTTCATTTTCCTTCATCTTCTTTCTTGCAGTTATTGCACAACTTTGGCAAACAATAAGAAAGAGAATCTCGATTTCTCCAAGGCAGACATATTCTCAGACAGTATAAGGTGCTTTTGCGATATTTTCTCCGATATCACAGGTTGGCCTTTAGCTTTTGTTGTTCTTTAGTGGGTAAAGAAGTAAAATATAGCATCTTTCAGTATGATCTACCTCAACAAGGCGTGGGTCGGTATTTAATTCTCATGGTTTGAGAGCCAAGTTTTTACATTATCTCTGTATTGACACAAAGATCTGAAGCAAAAATGTCAAACATGATTGTATTTCTACAAAGGCAAATTGTTATTTTATCTTTAAATCTGAGCTGCATGGTGGCGTCATTTTGCAAGAAGACCCTCGTCTGGGATCTTTCTGCTTGGAGTTTGTATGCTGTCTCCATGGTTGTGTGGATTCTCTCCAGGTACTCCTCTCACAATCCAAAAACATGACACTAAATGTGTTTTCACACATGACAGTCCAGTAGACTTGGTTCCACTGGGGCCCAAATTTGCAACATTTGTTATATTTTCAGCTGTTGTGTTTTTCTTTCACATTGAAACAAACAAATTAAAGCTTTTGAAGTTGATGAATACATTTCAACTGAACAGAGACCGAGGGTCATAGGTAAATTAGAGTTTACTATTTTGGTCTGCATCAGAGTTTGATTGCTCTGATGTAGGACTTTTATATGCTGGACTTTTTCGCCAAACAAGCAACAGTATGACTAAAGCTGACTTAATTTTTAATTTTCAGCCAACATTTACATCTGGACTTACTGCGTCTCACTTGTTTTGGAGCAGAATTATGACGAATGTCTCACATCAATAATGTAAAAGTCAGCTAAAATGCCACAATTGTTCAGGATGCTAACACTTTGAAAACAATCGAACACGTATTGAGACAGACTGAATATTTTGGAGGTGAAAAGATCAGATTTGTGCCATTCAAACACGGATAAAAAAAGTTGGGTTTGGGTTGCATCTGCCTGCTGTGTGAACGTAACCCAAGTTCCATCAACTGAAAGATTGTATCTGCTGACCTATGACCTTACTGACAGAAAGTCACCATGGTGGTTGAGATTTTACCAACATTAATGCATAAATAATAAAGTAAGTTTATATTATGCATATTATAGTTCGTGTTTGGTCACATATTCTTGATACAGAAGTTTTGAAGAACAGGCCCGTCTTGTGTTGTGGTCTGTAGGGTGTGACTTTGTCCTCATATGAAAACAGAACCTTTTTTCAGTTTAATATTAGAGCAAGCAGTCGTTATGCCTTCTGGTGTTTCCAACCCACAGTTGCTGGTGAAGCTGAACTCCACCCAGACAGACAAGTCAGTTTTTTCCTCCCTGCAACCATCTCTTCTCTTCAGGCGCACAATTAGATCCAATGATTTCCCTCCACGTCTCGCTTGTTCACAGGACATCACATGCTCAGCCGCTGAGGCTCAATCTTCTCCGCCGCCGGGGTAGGGGGTTACACAACGCAGAAAGCTGCAGGAGATCACAGAAATAACGAGCGGGCTGCCTTTTAACCCCTGACCTTCACTTCCTGAATGCTTTCCCAACGTTGGCCGTCTCTCAAAGGGGTATGGTGGGGTTCCCAGGAGAACCCAAAGGTCGTGGAGTTCTGCCCCTTTGTCTTCCTCTACCAATTACATCCAACTAGTCTGCAAAGTTTGACGCAGCTTTTCAGAAGCAATAAAGAAGAACTTTCTCCTTAAATTGGTGTCTTAGTCAAACAGAACTTCATCGCTTCTTTTGGGAGGTTAAAGACCCTGCAGGAGGAGGGAACTGACCCAGATTCCATGATCCTGATAACTTTCGAGCATAAACATAACCATGTTTGGAGTTTTCATCCTTTCACTGCAGAAACCTCAATAAATCTTCATGCTGCTTCAGTACAATGGAGGCTTATAACTTACCCCTGACTTTTTTATCCTCACTTCTTGCATTCCCAGAAAACGAATTTGCTTCCCTACTACTTCTTTTCTTCAAATGCCCATGATGGATTCAGACATTTGAATTTCTTGAGATCTTTGGAGTTGTCAAAGTTCATATGAAGCTCCAAGTAGAGCAAAGTCTTCCCTCCTTTTGAATCCTGGCTCACACTTTCGTTCCCTCCCTCTGTCCTCGTTTCATCTGTCACACATAACTCATGACACACACGCACACACACATGTTGCATGCAGGAAATATATAGCAACAAATGGACGGGGAGCAGGAGTCTCGTCACTCCAAGAGATCCCTTCTAAATGAAAACCATCAGAGCTCTTTACCTCTTTCAGCAAAGCAGACGTTCCCGATTCACTTTTTTTTCGTCTTCTTCTCCAGTTAGTCTCTGAAATCTTCTTCACGCTGTCTTGTCTTCAGCCAACTCCTCCTCTTAACCCTCTCCAGCGTTGATTTTCCACCCGTCCAGAACGCTGCTGCTGCTCTTCCCCTTTCTTTGCCCCACTGTTAATGTCAATGTTCTTTCCCTCCTCCTTCCTTCACTTCTTCCCTCCCCCATTTTGCTAAACCTATCTCCTCCTTTTCTCACCAACACAGCTGTAGAAAGGTTTTTCTCCTGTTCATTGGATGTCACCACTTGTTGGGGGTTGATTTCATGAACTTTGGGTGTCTGAAATAAGCTGATTCACCAAACTAGATTTAGTTTTTGGATGTGCACCAGCAAAAATACACATCTGTGCTTTAGTTTATCCCCTTCCTCCCTCTCTCATCCACATTCCTCTGGGGATTTTTAGGAAGGCCAGTGATCACAGCTGGATGTCACTTCTGGTTTTCGTACATAAATATATACTTCTGAGAAGCTTTAAAGTGAAACAACTGCACACACTCACATATTTCTGACTTTGTGGCAATTAGTCATGACATTTTCTCCTGCCAGGGCATGCAGGTAAATATGTAGACAGGTGTGTGTTGCAGAGCTCGCACGCAGCTGCTCAACCTGCTCTCAGGAACCTATAATCAACTCTGGAGGGACAGTAGAAGGAAATGACACATGAGGCAGGAGAAAAAAGGTCAAAATTTGAAATTTACTCTTTCCTCCACAATCACTAAACCCATGTGCTTCTTTTCAGTCATTGCAGTCACTAAATATTGTTTAAAAAAAGTAAAGCTTTCGATTAACGAGTTAAACTAGTTTTCTAACCGACGGAGAAGATGCATTAAAATAGAAGTACATGATTATATTTAAACATTTTGTGTTAAATACTGACTAAATAAACAGGGAAATGTGGATATTTCAGCTGGTTAAAGTTAAACAGACCTTAAAATCAACCCTGCTTTAATGGCGCCAAGTCTTTTTCTATCACGTTACGTCGTTTTTGCTTTATATCCTCCGTTTTTAAACATCCAAACCTTCGCAGCAAATCTGTAGGTTGTGGTTGAGAAGTTAGCGGAAATTCCGCAGTTTGTCGGGTGTTTAAAATTTGAAAACATTAACGGATAAAGTGAATTTTATCTCCCAGGACGGACTCCGTTTGGACCGTTAGTCTTTGCGCTCTGGGAAATCGCCGCCATCTTTGTTTCTGAATCAAACGGCGGCGTTTTTCGGATGACCGGCGGCGCCCTCTGCTGGACGGATGCCAAACTACAACACTGGGAAAATAAAATCTAAGTGGACTTTATTAATTCATCGATCTTGGTTTACATGCCGAAACCCGAGTCAGGCAAAAACGTTGAATTATTATTATTATTATTACTTTTTGGCCATTTCTGTGTTTATTTGGATCATCTCCTTAAAGGAATTCACTAATTACTTTCAAACTCCATGACTATAACCTACAAAACTTTTTTTATTAAAATTACAATTAATAATGATCCACATTTCAATGAGGAATTTGAGGGGATGTTATTCTTAAAGCTTGGATGGAGGCCACAATAAACTGAAAGTACGTAATCCTGATTAAATATGTGATTTCACAAGAACAAATAACTGCATGTGTTTTTCTAAGAATACAGATATTTTTTGTGGGAAAGCAAGCAAGTTTCTGCTAGAAAGGATTGTTAAGACGCCAGGTGGTTTTAGCTGCAGCAGCTCGGCATGTTGGTCGTACAGATGTCACATTGTCCTGATGTTGGAGTCACTCTGACAAGTAGATTTAATACATCCTGTAGAGGACAGCAGTCCATCACAAGAGATAAACAACCACTGACACATGGCAGCCTGATCCAGAGCACTCACTTAAACCAACATGGTTTTGGCTTGAGGGATCCAGAAATCAGACATGTTTTTAATATAGAACATCCACTTATCTACACAAAGAGTTTAATGTTAATTATTCTAATATATGGTTATAATCAATACATTTGAATTTATTTCCGTAACTTAAGTCATTAAGTTTATACCACACAAACTGATGTTTCAAGCCTTTATGCCTGGAAATTACAATGATTTTCCGCTGTAAAAATTATGATTAATATATTACAGCAGACTAGTTAAGAAAACAACATTTCAATACAGAAATGTGGGCTTAATGAAAAGTAGTTTTAATACCTGATTAAATGTAATTTTCCACAGGTACTTTTAATGAAGCTAACGAACCTCATCAGAAGCATCTTCTAATTTACTGAATATGATTTTATATTGGAGCGGGAGAGCACGCCCTCTGGTGGTCAGAGAAAGTAACTTCACACATAAACACTGGTACACAGCATGGCGTTATAATGTATAAATCATTCATAAATGTTCTATTTTTTAAGAAAATAAAAATTCAACCGTTTAGATAGTATGCCCCCCCAATGCCCACCCACTCTGCCGGGCTTGGTCCTGATAACGCTGGCTAAAAATGAAAAACAACCAGCAAATGTTTGTAAATTTATACATCAACTACAATCGCAGGTCTTTACCAATTTTTCTGTTTATTCTTGCAATATTTGCATTGAATTTCCACAAAGAATGACCGTAAAAAAAAAAAAAAAAAAAAAAAAAAAAAATTATATATATATATATATATATATATATATATATATATATATATATATATATATATATATATATATATATATTTATATATATATATTTATATATATATAAATTCTTAATTTTATATGGTAGATATTTATTTAGACTCAAAGAAATTTAGAGTGACTGGCCTGCAAATAAAATTTATTTTTATTTATTTAGTTACATGAGGGAGGAGCTTTATGTATTTATTTATTATTTCAAATTTATGCAACTCAGAGGAAATTCACAGATAGTATTTCTGTCTTCTTTTAATTCAGGGTAAATATCTTATTCCTCCTCCCGTCCACCAGGGGGAAGTAAAGCGGAAGTGACGTTGGTGCCAGTAGTCAAACTGCGCAGCCTCCGTTATGACCAGTCAGTAACTGTTGGTGAAGAGTGGGGGAACGGTTCACTTTTCGGTGAGGAGGTAAATGAACATTACTTAGATCAGAATTATTATACGATATTCACTGTAAGACTTTAACATTTAGCGAACCTGCAGTTGTTTCTCATCACTCGTAAATTGGCGTATTTTGGGATGGTTTCCCGAAATCTAAATACTTCGGTTGATAAATTATGAGCCGTATTTAATTTGTTTTAAGCCTTTATGTGAATTTGACAATCGTTACCTCCCAGGGTTTATACTACGCGCTATGAAGGCAGTTAAATATAAAATTTGACTGTTTTTCTATGGAGACTGGTTTTCAACCACGTGGAGCTGACTCCACGTGTTTAGCATAAGCTGCTAGCATGCTATGCTCAAAGTGCCAGTTAAAGGTGAGCGACTTAGTCTGTTAGCTTTAAATGACGGTTTTCTGACTAACATTTTTTTCGACCCTCCGGTGATGACTTGCACTGGGCTCTGAGTCTATATGGAGATGATGTGCATCTTTGGCCTTGACAAGCCAGAGTTTCTGAGGAAAATAAAAGCTAAACCATGTTGAGCTTAAGTGATCATACACCATAGAGTTAACTCTATCCTGTTTTCATTTGTAGGTGATGCAGAAATGATTTAAATGAAGATGGACTCTGCTAGGTGGGTCAAACACTCCAGTCCAGTGAGAATCTGAAAGCCTCTCCCCTGATGACTTGCACTGGGCTCTGAGTCTGTATGGAGAAGATGTGCAACTTTGGCCTTGACAAGCCAGAGTTTCTGAGGAGAAAATGACTTTATGACGTCCTCCTAATGATTACAATGTCAAACTTACTCTTTTATTTTTATTTATAGGGTGTGAATCACTTGGAATAACGAGTAATTGAAGGTTTGTGTTAAAAAAAAAAACATTGAAATGCTTTTATCTGCTTCCTTGTTGAATTGTGAAAGTTAATTGTGCTGCATTTTTTTCTTTTCAGACACCAAGATTCCTGCAGACTTCCTCACCAATTTGCAGGACATTTTTTTCAGGTTTACTTTATGTATATAATTGTGGTTGACAAATAAAACTTGGATTCCCGAAATTTGGATTTAAAATTTTGAAATTCTTCAATATTCAGTTAAAATTTTAGATTTAAGCCTGATGGGAACTTGCATTGAATTAAGACTGTGGCCTGCAGACCAGTTTAATTGCCTTTATATTTTACTTTTTTTTTTTTTTTACTCAGACTTGCCAAATGAAACTTGAGAGCTGCAAACGTCACATGACATTCTGAAAATAAGATGTATAATTTAAGATATACAACCACTCTTGTTTAAATTTTTAGGATGAAAAAACTGATTTGTGAAGGATGAAGGTTCTTTGGGATGGAAAAGTAAAAGTATCTAAAGGCAGATTATTAGTACTTAGTGACATTTTGTGAAAAATATTTAGACAAATTTAAGAATTTTAAGCTCAAAAAGTTTTTCACTCCATCTTATTTTCAGATTCTCACCCAAACTTGCAAATTACCTGTTCAGTACTCCACACTTATGAACGCCCATTTATTTACTGATGACGTAAGAAATCAGATGGTTTTTTTCCCCTGTAGATAACTGAAATTATCACGGATAACATTTTTTCAGGCTTACCTGAATCTGCAAGGCAGAAGACAAACCTGAAAAGCAAAATTCTTCACAGAAACACAAAACCATCAAACTAGAGCTTTGTTTATCTTTATTATAATTCTAACAATTTATTATCTCTTAAAACATTTGAAATTCATATATATTTATATGAATGTGTGTATATGCATTTCACATATACATATATATATTCTGTAAGATACCTTTCTTCAGTTCATACTCATTTTTTTAAAGATCTCTTAAAGGAAAAAAAATGCTTTCTATAGAGTCGGACCGATTCCCCTCAGATTGTAACCTTTAACCCCTGACAGCTGATATGTGAGCCACTCACTCGATTTTAAAAAAATCCAGAAAAAATGTCCAGAATATTTGATCAAGAGTCACAAAAGAAGAGAGATGAGTTCCTTTTGAGCTAAATTTACACTACATGAACATTTTGTAGAACTGATAGAAACATCTGGCTTAATAAAAACTTTTACTTTCACTAAGAAACGCCGGTAGCAACGTGTGATACGACGAGAACCTCAAGGGAACTAACGGGTGGTAGAAATAAGTTTCATTGGTTAACATTACGTTTTATTAATAAAAACCAAAACAACCTGCAACACTAATATCTAATTATACAAGAGAGCATGAAATGATTTAACACAGAATGGAACCCTACAGGTTTATCTGGTACTAAATAAGGACCCTTTAAGGAACCCTACAGGCCCCAGCAGACATGCCATAATTACCCCCCATCAGGTGACTTGTAAGCACTCCATAGGTTTCCAATAAACACCCTACAGGTTACCCCTGAAGTGCCTTATAGGTTCCCTAGTAGTAGTTTCAAGGAAACCCCCATTAACTCACCAGGTACCTTGTAATTATTCCATAAGGTGACTTGAAAGCAGTTCATAGACCCACCATAAACAGCCTGAAGTAACTTATAGGGGCCCTATGCATATCTGGACCTTACTGGTATCCTCTCCAAATGCCTTATAGGTTTTCTATAAGATCTATAAGATAATCTCAATAAATAACCTGTAGCAGTGGCCACTGCCTTGCATTGTTTTAGGTATTTCCTTTCTGCCACACACCTGGTTTGAATATGTGGGTGATTAAGAGGTTCTGGAACAGAGACGCATCTAAAACATGCTGGGCACGGGGATCTAAGGACTGGATTTCAGAGACACTGGCTTGAGGTTCCCCTTATGTAATCTGTAGGAGCCCAATGGTACCATCCCTGGAAGTTTTTATGGGTTTAAAATCCTGCCGTGTGAACCGGACATCAATAAGAAAGAATCTGCTGTTGATAATTTAGCTGATTCTGCATTGATACTTCACCTGCAGGCGCCCTTTAAGTGACCTCCAAGAACAGAAGGAGATTCCTGTTGGTACCACCGAAGTTCTGGCCTGTATTACACATTGCTACTCGAATTTCCTTGCAAGGTTACTGAAGCAAAAAATGACAGAAATAATTCACCGTGATCGCATCGACACACGTGAGCAAAGAGAACGACCAGCTTGGATCATTAACAGTGGAAGATGCAGAGAACGGGTCAAACTGTATAGAAAGCAGAACAGTTAAATAAATACATCTTCATGATCAACATTATTTGGAAGACAGAGATTCTGTAGAACTTTTGAGACTTTTTTTTTTTACATCTTAAACGGTGTTTAATGACCATTATTTTCATCGTCCTTATTGCTATTTCATTATGCACTCTAAGATAATCTCCCCGCTGACCTTCTGCTGATACAAAAATGAAATCACCATTTGCACATTTTACATCGACAGAGTGAAAATATGTGCAACAAGATGCATGAAAACTGTTTTTTCTTCTGCAAAACCAGACTCAAAGACAGCAGAGGGGAGAGCGACTCCCGAATGGGATGCATCGATGTGTTCTCGGACTCGGAAAGCAGCAGGAGAAGTGAAAGCGTGAAGTCATGAGAGAGCCCTTATATTCCATCTCAGAGGTTAATGTGCCATGAAAGCTGATGGAGAAGTAAAATGAGAAACATGGCACACACAGATCTGATAACAGGGGCTAGCGGTACTAAATTTCCATCACTGATATGTCCTGGGCTTCCCCAGAGTAACATTTGCTACATCGATACAGCATCTGAATAAACTTTTAAGGAGAAAAGTAAAGTTTGAGGCTTTTAAAGTTACCATGTTAACATAATAAAGGGAAAATATACCCGTCGATGTGTTTCACATTATGTCCGCGAGGCTTCTTTTCACTTTAAAACAATGTAGAGGGTCCAGCGTCTCCACAGCACTCACCCACCTGAGCCCGCGCAGGAAGAAACCGGAATAACAGTAAGGACGATGATAGTAACGATAAGCGGTAGCAACAAATCTCTTCATATCAACAGCAGTTCCAGTGTTTCCCCGTTTAAAGTTTAAAAACTGTAAGAACAATCGTAGTATTAAAATTTGATTCGAGCGTTTCTCTCTTGGGTTTCGCCGTTGGGAGGAAGGGGGGAGAAAGGCCACTCCTGGAAGGAGCAGGGAGGAGCGGGAGGGAAAAGACGGAGATAATGGCAGTTTTTCTTTTATCCCTCCCGTCTCCTTTCAAGTGTCCCTCTTCCCAGAAGGTCTGAGCAGAGATGTTCTCCGGAAGAAAAAGATTTCTCTTCACGTTCTCTTGGATCCAGAGCACAGTCTGTCCTCGGGTGCGTCTCGGATCTCTGCGTCTTTATATATAAGTTGTTAAATAAACTCTGACACAAACACAGAGTGCTTGTGTTTATCTACATGTTGGTGTATGCATGCAGGCATGGATAACAGTAACATGGGTGCCTGACTGTGTGCATATATATATATGTAAATATATGTTTTTTAGCCATTTATTCTTTTTATGATGTAGGTCTGGGCACTTGTTTTTGCTACAAATTTGTGATACAGTGACCAGTCTGTACGTACGTCGCTAAAAGATGACAAAGAGCTCTTATGGAAAAATAACAAAAATGCACACAGGATCCGTAGTGAGGACAGAGCCCTACCGGTTGGTGAGGTAAAAAACAAGACGTGACCAATCGCAACCAGATAAACACACACACACAGACAGCGAAGACACTGGTCTGCTCCCTGGACTCCCCGGAAAGATGAGGAAGCTGTTGTCAGAAGACAGCAGACAGCAAACTCTACATCCTCATTCGATTGTAGAGTTTAATGGATGAGGACATAAAAAAACAATCTGGACTTTACCAAGTTCCTTTTATGCTTCCTTGAACAGGTTGAGACGGACGTATGTCTAAACAAAACATGTTCAATACATTTGTTGCACAAAACTATTGTTAAATAATGATATTTTATTCTAGTCAGTTTGTTCTATATGAGCTGTTTTAGGGCGTCTTGTCACTTTAAATCCAAACAAGCTGCTGCTGGCCACGCCCCCCAACTTGATGTTTACATCCGCACGTGAAAATGGCTGCAGACAAATGCACAATTATACAAATGTAAATCTTCGAAAAGTATAAGTGGAGCTTCCTGCACAACCAACCAGAATGCAGCAAGTGGTTTATGAATGGTAAGTCAGCAAAATAGAAAAAAAGGTCCAATTAAGTCCAAAATCACAATTTGAAAATTAATTTTTGCCAAACAAAATATGTTAATTCAATTTTTTGCACAAAATTATTCTTAGATATTGAGATTTTAGCCTGATCAGTTCACAGTGAGCTGTTTTAGGGAGTCTTGTCTCTTTAAATCCAAACAAGCTGCTGCTGGCCAAACCCCTAAACGTTTACAGTTGTATGTGAAAATCGCTAACAAATGTCCAATTGTACAACAGTACATTTTCGAAAAACAGAAGTGGAGCCTCCTGCACAACAAACAAGAATGCAGTAAGTGGTTTCTGAATGGCAAGTCCACAAAAAAATCTCTCTTCCAGTGCCATTGTACAGTGAATGCAGCAGTAAAACCAGCTGACCAAACATGCTGGTGTTGTGCTGGGGTTGCTATGTAACGGCGCTTTGCTTGCTGAATGTGACTCAACAATGGAAACGGCTCATTTTCCAGACAAAAAGCAGCTGGGTGTAGTTTTTAAGTGCTTGAGTTGTTTCTAGAAGCAGTTGAGACCCAAATAAAAGTGCAAAAACAAGCAAAATTAGAATTTTGCATAATAGGTCATTAAACTTTTAAAATAGTTTAATGACCCCATTTATCATTCTGCTTTGCAAAGTAGCCTGGAGTAGATCCAGTCTTTACAGATTAAAACTGAAATCCTTATAAAAATTAATCGATTCATAAGAAAGTAAAAGATTTCCACACTTAATAACAATAAAGCCATTAAATGCATAAAGACAGATGATTTTTAAATTTATAAACAATATTTATTTTTGCTTCAATTTTGCAGATTGCTTCAAGTTGAAACATTCAGAGATATTTTAAAACGTATAAAGTCCAAACATCTGTTTGGAAATTTTGTGCTAATAGAGCGGCGACAAGGAGAAACTGCAGATTTTAACTTGGTAAAGACCAGATCACTTATTTCATCCCCTGACATTTAAAATAAAAACACACAGTGTGTTTAATTTTTACCATGACTCTACGGTGAAATAAAGCACGCAAACGAAGCCTCATTCTTTAAAAAACACCTTCCTACTTTCTGACACGCAGACATGTTCCTCAAACGTCACACAGGAAGCTAAAATCTGAATCCTCTCACCTTTAAACCTGAACAAAAACAACCAATCAGCTGTCAGGACTCACCTCTGCAGCCCTACCGAATGCGTCCTCTGCTTTGTGATTGTTCTAGTTAATAAATCTGAAATTTGCTGCCATTACGATCCTCTTATGTTCACTGAGAGGAGGTTTAGTTAAGATTGTGTTGCTGTGGTTGTGTTTGGATGGATGTAAATCAAGGAGCACCAGCCGGCGTGTTTTCAGATCATCATCATCTTCTCCTTTCTTTCCGTGTGAAATCTGTGTGAATCCTCCGACATGAACTTCAACCCCTCCCTGTTCCTCCTTGGCGGCCTCAGCTCCGACTCCCGTCGTCCCTCCTCCTCTCAGGCTGCCCTTCCCGAGGAGAGAGGACAGAAATGGGAAACGGGCTGCTGGACAACCTGAGGACAGAGAGACGCAGGACATTTAAAATGCTTTTCATCATAGAACAGGGATAAAAAAAGAAGTGGGAAACATACATTTTCTACAGAGTGAATTTCAACTCTAACAGAAAGAGGGCGCTGTTTATCTGTTGAAATAAATCCAAAGTACTAAAGGAATTTTTCCTTTTCCTTGAGAGTTTAGGGCAGAATAAATAAAACAAACGAATGAAACAATTCAAGCTTTTTTTTGACTCGTCTTAGATTGTAAAAGTTTAAATTATTTTTGGTGCTCAATGCTTTACAGTAAGGGTGTTCAAAGTAGAACCAATCGATTGATCTTGAGTTGCCCCTTAAAATCGACCATTGCCTTTCCATTGTATTCTGATTATCATCTCTCTTCTCCGACTTGGCTTCCTCCCACTGAAACGGATTCCTCCGGCACAATTTCCATCAGGCCAATCAGCGAACAGCAGGAAAAGTCGTGAATGATGTTGATTTTCTGTTTTGGAGTTGTAGTCTGCCCGTAGTTTTAGTAACAGCAGCGTTCAGTCTGTTAACCGCGCTTCCAAATATTGAATTAATGTTTATCAGACATCTTGTTCAGATTGACTCTTCTCTCTGGAGGAGGTTGGTCGTTTACAGCGCAGGCAATGTGGTTTGTTAGAGTGCAGTCTGATAGCGAACTGAAAATGCAACAAATGTTAAAATTTTGCTGTGCAACTGAACCAAATCTATCGGACCACCAGGTGCCTTTAATGAATTGGTTCAAAGTTTCACAAAGTTTTTGGACTTCTGAGAGCAAAAATCTTCCCCAACTTACATTTGATTATGTTTAGAAAATTCAAAACAATGGCGGAAAAGCTTTAGGGTTTTGTTTTTCCAATGGTATTAAATCAAACGAGAGATAGATTGATCCACTTTTTTCACTTCAGATACTAATATGTGAGGTTTAGTATAAGCCAATACTGATTTGATTAGCACATTACATTAAAAAAAAGACCTAAATCTACAAAATTACAAATTTATCTGATAATTACACCGGTACAGGACACTTAAACATACCAATAGCTTTACAAGTTTGGTCAAACCTGTAAAAACAACTTTAATTTGTTCAGTTGTTTTTTTTTTTTATGTAAAATAAACAAAGATCCGAAACTGACAAAACAGGAGGTTGCCTACCTTGGTCAAACATGTCAAAAATAAACTAACAAAACTTTTAAATAGACCAAAAAAATGCAATTAGTTACTCTAAATAAAATGTGAAATAAATAACACAACAAAGGTTGTGTATTCCAAAAACCAATACATCAATAATTCTATGATGTATTAAAATGAGCCCAATAATTTTAATTTGCATGATTTATCACTTTTCTCTCTATCAAAAACTGGATGATAAAAGTCTTCAGTTTGTTGTTTTGGTCTCAAACAGCCATTTTTGCTTCCATAGACTTCATGATTAATTTTCTTTGTTGTTTTGTTTATTGGTATTAATATTGGATCAGTGCATCTCTAGTCCAGACAGATAGGTGTGACCTTACCTGTCCATTACACTCCTTAGGGCTCGCTCTATGTTCATTCTGTGTCCTACTCTCGTCACCCCCAGATCCAGATAGTCTTCCTTGGTCAAAGAGGGTAAATGGGTGCCATCAATCTCGTTGTCAAGAAACCGTTCTCTATGCTCGCCAAGGTTGAGGTACGCCAGCCAGTCTGCAACATCGTACTTGGTCCAGTAGGGCAGCGGCTTGGAAGCGAAAGGCTTTGTGGGGGAAGGCGGTGGTAAGTGGGGGTAACTCAAGCAGGTAGACGGCGGGTGGGGATGTAGAGGTGGAGACGACGTCCCAGACAGAAAATGAGTTGGAGAAAGGGATCGTGATACTACTAAGGTTGAGTTTGGAGGTGGAGGGGCTCCAGAGGGGGCAAAAAGGGGAGGAGAGGGTGAGAAGTAAGGGTCTCCAAGAGGATTCCCAGGTGACGGTGGGGTGATTGAACCGCGGAGGTCGTAGATGGCACTGTACAGGGGTGAAGTGGGGAGAAGAGGAAGTGACGATGGGCGGGGCGGGGCCACTTTGGGTCTCTCTGATTGGGAGATAAGCGGACTCGGAGCTCGTCGGCGCTGGAGCATGTGTGATTCTGCTTTGCGGGACTCTCGACTGGGGATGAACTGGAATTCCAGAGCTTTGGTCCGGTACACGGGTCTGTGCTTGGGAGACGTAGGGTAAGGGGAGTACGACGTCGGGGACAACGGAGAATGTGAGCGCGGAGGTTGAGATGCAGCTGGAGGCTGAGGAGATGGGGAACGTCCCCAGTTTGGGTATTGGGAAGCTGGGGTTGGGGATGGCGATAAGGACGGCTGCGATAAAGAGATTGGAGACGGAGACTGAGAGCGGACTGAGGGCGGGCTCAGAGCAGAGGCGGAGTCTTCGGAAAATCTGTGAACAGAAGCATTAAAAACGATAACTCAAAACTACACCAGAGATCAGACAGTGGCGAGATGAATTCCAGAAAATTTACATTATTACAGGTGTTGGCCAACAGCTAAACTCCTAACTGTCTGTTTTAAAAGTTCCAACACCAAATATACAATAATATGCATTTATAAAAACAATGGAGAGTATTTGGGAGCTACAGCTAATCAGGCCAAAGGAAACCAAATGGCTCTCCTGGATTGGCTGCTTTGCAAATGCCAGCCAATATATTATCAAGTAGCCTGGTGTCAAAACAATTTAACTTCCCAAGATGCATTTTCATCACATTACATACCTGCCAAAAACAGGAGGAATGTATAAAGAAACTACAACAGTGAATTTATTGACTGGGCGAAGTGTGTATTATTGCTAGCAATGCTACATTCGATGGCTTGGAAATTGGCTCTCTCAATTGATCCATGAGCCGCGATAGTTCCTTAATACAGTCTGAGATTCTGTAAGGAATGTGATGTCACAATTTCACATCACATATTCTATATATGCCTAAGATATACCACTTATCTACTGGAAAGGAGAATCTCTAGAAATCTGAAAAACAGTAACGTAATATGACAATGTTACCAACCTGTGTCTGGTCAATGGTCTGTGGCTGCTCCAGCTGTCTTTACTTCTTTGCTGCAATTTGCTGCTCAGCTCAGTGATAATGCTTGGCTTCATACTGGATGCAGGGGGGTAAATCTTCTTCCCTTCTAAAAGCGACCCGGACTGGCTCCCTATATCGCCGCTCATCTGGCTGTCGCCCCATAGGGGTCTCATCTCAGGAGTGCGTGGCCTCTCAAAGTACGGCGACGTGGGACGGCCCAAATTCTGCAGGTCCCTCATCCCGTACCCGTCTTGACCACTCTCGTCGTCTCCAAGTCCCTCCTCTAAGTCGTCCTCTACCTGCCCATCTCTTTGCCTGTGGGAGTGGTAGGATGCAGGGGCAGTGCTGGTCTGTCGATGTGAGTCACCAGCGCGGCTACCTTCTCTAAACCTGCTGGTTTTTGGGTAGGTGGAAGCCGCCGCTGTCGCATTCTGCATCTCAAAGGTTTGCCCATCCAGGTAGCTCATGTATGACTCCAGAAAGTCTGCTCCTCCTCGTTCTGTTTCTCCTGCACCTCCTCCCATTCGCCGTGGACTTCCACCTCCGAGTCTCTCTCCCCGATCCAGTCTGTCTCCTCTGATACCAGCCCCACTTAGGCCCAAAATACTGTCCAGGTGATGGTCACTGCTACTGCGGCTATCTAGTTCCTCAATCCCAGAGTCCACAACCGTTTCCTGGGACTCTCCTTTTTTGGCAGTGGGATGAGGACGATGGTGCTCGCCTGTCCGTCCTGTGATGGTAGTGGAGTATGTCGAATGAGCAGGGTGTGGTCGCTCTTGGTAGAGCTGAGTGGAGGTGCTTGTTGTGGCAGCAGTGGTGGTTGTAGCAGCACAGCTAGCGGTCGTTGCGTGGGAGGCATTGCCCCTATGTGGGACGGACGTGGCAGCAGTGGAGGATGGAGCTGGGGGACCTCTGTAAGCTGGAGGTGGTGCGACTGCATGTTGTGGAGGTGTTGGTGAGGATCGCCCGGATGCATGTGTGTTGTTGTAAAGGTGGTGAGACATTGAAAAGGGCCTGTGGTAGGAACCGGAACCAGGGGGAGGTGGAGGTGAGACTGCAGGGGGAGGAGGAAGGCCCATGGCTGGCTGAAGGTTTGAGGGTGAGGAAGGGGGTGGAGGATTTGGTGATGTCTGTGAAGGGGAAGGAGCAGACTGAGTCAGATTTGCCACTTCACTGTCATACGACGTGAGGCTGGATGCAGTGGAGTCACCTGCCTGGGGAGAGGGCAGAGGAGTATGGGCAGGAAAGCCACTTATATAATGTTCTTTCTGTGGAGGGGGAGGAGGTGGCGGGGGCGGCGGAGGTGGTGGAGGAGGCGGTGGGGAGGGACTTGTTGTTGTCGATGGATCAGGCTGTTGGCAAGCATCGCGTGTTGCGAGTATCCCGATCCCCCTCTGTCGAAGCTGTTTGCAAACTCTAAGGGAGGAGGGAGGGGATCTGCATAAACAAATTCATCGTCCGCGTCGACTGATGGGGCAGGAGGAGGAAGGACCATTATACCACTCCCTGTGCTTCCAGAAGCATGCTGGGTAATGGTTGGTGGAGGAGAGGGAGGGGTAAGAGACAGCATATAGGCATCGGCTTGACTTTCCATCCTGAGAAAAGAGGGTCTTCGGGGTTGCGGGGGTGCACTCTCAGCAGCCTGCTCTGCCCTCCTCATGTCCCTCTCCCTTGAGTGGTCTCTCTCTCGTTCCCGCGACCTCTCTCGCTCTTTGTAAGACGGCTGATATGGCTGAGACTGATAGTGGTGTGTGTGGACAGTTTTGTCCTCCGAAAACCGCACTCTAAGACCCTCGCGAGTACCTCCACCTTCCCGCTCCCGCTCCCCACCTTCTTCCCCCCAAGTACTCCCTACTCCTCGGAGGATTCTGGGTGAGGGTGGGCGACCGACTGTGGGTGTGGTAGCTGCCAGAGAAGAGGAGGTCACCAGGTAAGAACTTGAAGACTGCGTCGTGGAGGAAACTGGCTGAGAGGTGACAGCAGACGAAGGGAACACGACGCTCGACATCTGGCGGGTGAAGAGGTGCTCCGTTCCCCTCCTTATCCTGCTGTCATCCCTCAGAGCACGCTCCCTGGCAGCCAGGGCGAGGCCCAGAGGTGATGTGGGGTCAAGCGCCTTCCCAGTAAGAGGATGAATAAAAGTGGTGTTGGAGGAAGGTGCTGGCTGTCGACCTGCTGCTGCGTATAGATCAGCAGGCACAGATTTGGGCTGATAGTCCAGGGCCGTAGAGGAGTACTCCGGTAGGCCGAAGGCTGGAGGCATACTCCGGGTGTGTTGGATAAAGGTGTCTGCAGAAAACATGCCCTCATCAATTGACTTGGAAGGGCGCAATCGTGTTGACGAGCTTTCAGGCTGAGTGTTTAACTGCTGCTGAGACACCTGAGTTCTTGATACTCCTCCTAGCGCTTCGCTCATCCCAAGACTCAGATCTTCCTCAGCAGACATGAACAAGGAGGCACTCTTTCGTCGGGCTTCGAGGAATCTCTCCCTGTCTCGGCGAGCTGCGCCAACAATGGCAGCCCCGAACTGGCTGGTAAAGTCCAGATTATCCTGGGCTCGAATAGAAGGCAAAGATGGAGGTGGTGGTGCAGGAATGGAGGGTGGAGCAGGTGGCTGTGGAGCAGGAGTGGACGGAGGAGGGCCGTGAGGCGTTTTTGTATCACCCGCCTCCCCTGACGCGGGGACATCAGCCTCCACGCTGCTGCCCTGGCTGCTCCGTCCACTGCTGCTGGTTGAGGGAGCCTTGACAATGATGGTGGGGATAGGAATGGAGCTTTTCTCCACAGAGTCTTTGCTCCCCAGGCTTCCCTGCCCTAGACGCAGCTCCTCTATCTTAGATTGCTTCACCAGAGGGCCCTTGCCTCTCCTGGCCCCTCCTTTAGGGCCACCTGCTCCAGCTGTGCTTCGGTCTGCCCGCTGGGGTTGACTCTGGGTAGTCTGTTGTTGCTGGGGCATTACAGTAGCAATGCTGGACGGGGGTACGGCTGTACTGTAGCCTCTCCTCAGGCCTGCTTGTTTAGCGCCTGCGCCAGCCCCAGTCCCAGCTCCAACAGACTCCCCAGTATAGGCAACCTTTCGCGACGCAGTCCTGCTCTGAGCTGTATGGGCAGATGCGTGAACGTACGGTGTCGCGTGGTCTGCTGCTGGGCCAGTGGTGGGACCACCCGCCCTCTCCCTGCCACCCTGGCTCAGGTGGCCTGACTGGGAGAAGGGCTGGTAGTGCGCAGAGCTGGATGTTGACTGGGACACAGAGACAGAGGGCTGCTGGGACAACTTTGTTCTCCAACCAAGTGGTGGAGCGGAGGAGAACGGGGGCTCCGGTGGAGCCGTTGTGGGAGGAGGAGGGATATCGTCCGGACCAGGCACCGACAGACTCCGTGCAAACTTCATCGCAGGAGGATGCAGGAACTGCTTCTCCTCCTCAGGTACGCCTGCAGTGCAGGATTAACAAACAACAATCCGGAAAAATTAACAGCTATTAAATAAAAAAGTGTTGGATAAGTAAAGTTGTGAGTGTGTCTGAATCTGCCTGCCCAAGAAAGTCTGTCCTCAATTCCTCAGTTAGAAGCCTGAAAATCAATCAGTCATACTCATTCCTCAACAAAAAGTGAGTCAACACTAGGCCTGTTGCAATAAACAGTACATCAATTACTTGCATAATAAATTGAAACGGGCTCAATCATCTTCATTTGCATTATTTATCAATTTTCTCTTTTCTACCTGTTCTTTAGTTTAGTGTGTTTTTTGAAAGACAAGTTTGAAAGACAAGTTTGCTTTCAAAATTAATCATAATTAATTTTATTTGTTGTTTTGGATATTTAAAATGTTCTCCAGTTCCAGTGTTAAATATTTGCTAAAATTTAAAGTTTATTGATCTTTGAGAATATCTTCCTGCATCATCATGGTACCTGGCTGAAAGACCACTCAAGAACAGAGTAATGGATCAGAACATCTGATCTTTAAAAATTATGTAATCAGACAGAGAAAAAATGTATGTCCAAATTGTAGCAGTTTAAATACCAACAAGGAAACGACACAAGTAAATAACAAAATAAAAATAAATGATTCAGGAAGCAAAAAAATAGAAATGCAACTAATTCTTACAGGCAGTAATGAAGTAACTCAGAGTGGGTAGAAATTACTAAAGTAACTAAGTAAATGTAACTAGTTACTACCCACCTGTGCATTTTGGGTGTAAATGAGAACGTAGCACTGCTAAAGATGCGAAAATATATTGTGAAGTTTATGTGCAACCTGCTGGGGTTTTTTCCGTGATGTGTGACTTCCTGATTCTTCAAGTTGCATCTCTCTGAATCTTCTGCATGTCACATGATGACTACTCGTAAATAATCCGCACACACAAACAGACCAGATAAAGTACAACGACTGAAGCATTTTGTACAGTGTACAGATACAGGTAAAGTACATACTGTGGGCCACAGACAAGACACGGGTCAGAGAATCAGAGTTTACTGAACCAGAGGACGGACAGACAGGCGGACGAGGGGCAGACGGAAGAAACAGACAACCTCACCGATGGATTTCTGCCGCATAATACCGTGCGGAGGGCCGTGACCCGGGCCGTACTGGCCTCGCTCGTAGCCCAGTCCCAGACCCGATATCATCCCCATCCCAGGCTGGTCCGCGTAGCTCGGCTGCAAAGACACACGACACGAGTTGGGGCGTTTCCACGAGTGTTTTAGTGGAAACACTAAAAACGGCTGCTAGAAGTCATTAGCAACCAGGTTTAAGATTTAAGGCAATGAATGAAGCTTTACTTAAAACATATATCTCCAATGTTCCATTTATTAATTCATTCATCCATGTAGACTCACCCTAAATCTGCTACTCCTAAATTGTGATTTCTTTTTAGTTGCATTTTTCCTTTTCACAATCGTCTCATTCTTTTGTGACTTGCTTTGAAATTTAAGTCTGGAAAGCAGCAGACATGCTTATCGAATTAGGAATTCATTTCAGAAACACAAATTACAGTCAAAGTTTTTCTCTCTACTTCATCTGAAAAAGTGCAAACATTTCAGATGACTTTCATAGGTTTTCAGTTCAGTTTCAAAGAGTAGCAATTTCATTGTTTCAAACCGAAGTCTCGATGCAAACCTCGTTGCCATAGAAGCTTCTTCCCCGGTCCCGCTTCGGCCCCTGTCCCCGTGTCCCGGACGCCTCGTTGGTGCTGATTGTCTGCTGAGCCGCTGCAAGAATTTCATCGAGTTTATCTGAGAGGGAAAAAGGAGTAAAGAGGCAAAAAAAGAGAGAGACAGAAGAGACAAACGGAGATGAAATGGAAAAACGAACAGCTATACAACAGGTAGAAGTGTGAAGGGAAAGACGACAAAACCGATGAAGAGAGAAGGATCCTTACTCAAAGCCATCTGATAGACTGTCCTCTTCTTCTCTGAAACTTGTGAGGATTCGAACTCTGGGAGAGAGGAAGGAAACGAGGCCGGTGAGAGTGCCGAGTCATTTTGACAGATAAAGGGGCGTCATCGTTAACTGGGGGAAAGCGCCGCAGCATACCTGATTTTTTTTTCCAAGGGGTAGCAGCTGGAAGGAGGACAAAAGGAGACTTAAGTTTTGGCAGGAGTGAAAGTGCATCGTTACAGCGCATACTAATCATATTCCCCAGAGCCGAACGGACTGAGTCACCCCGTGAAAAACGCACATTCACACCCACGCAGCACGCACACTCATGTTACAGTAAATAGACTGCAGACGCATATGCTGCGCGTTCACAGCGGTACGGATTCCCACCTCTCTCCACTGTCAGACGGTTACGATCCCATCGGCGCGCGGCAGCGAGGGAGAGAGGAAAAACAGAGTTAGTGGTTAACCCAGTGAACAGAACCAGAAGGAAGTTGGACGCCACAGGTTCTTCAAATTAAACAAAGCTTCTGTGAAACTTTTGTGGAGCTGAAATTTCATTAAAATAATGTTTCATAAGATCATCAAAGCTTGTCCACATTTACAAAATCAAATGAAATAATTGATCTAATTTTTAAGATAAACAAAAAAACCTTCCTAACCCACATAAAAGCTGCATTTTAGGAAAATATTTTATTTATTTATGAGACCATTACTATATTGCAACAGTATGAGATAGAGAATCTGTGGGAACAAAAATCAAACTCCTTTGTTTTCTCTCAGTACTTTCTAGAAACAACCAATCAGAGCCAGGAGGCGGGTCTTAGCACAAAACTCAAAATTGATTTGTGCGCTAAAATATCTGTAACACAGTTGACTGACACCAAATTTTTTTGATTTTGCAAATCTGGACAGGCTGGTTGACCTTAGATGACCTCTGGAAACATTTATTAGTATCTTTAAAGTGAGAGCGGCACAAACAAAAATCTATAACTTGAATGAAGTGGATTGGTGCCAACTTCACTCTGGTGTGAAAGAAGAGTGCAGAAAGGAGTGGAGAGGAAGAATTTGAGGTGACCCTCACATTCATGGGTGTGACAGAGGTTTGGTTTTCACGTTTTATTGCTACTCCAACCAACATTGTCCTAGAAACTAAAGCCGGTTTGGAGACGCAGCAGGATCATCCCCATTTTAATGTTCTCTTGCTGCATGACTTACAGGTGAACTGGGACACTGCAGCAATCAAAAAGTTGAACAATTAAATGAATTCATTAGCCTCAGAATCAGCATATGGCAGCGGCTGACGGGGTTCATCACACAGCCTGCTCTTTTCACCTTGATTCAAGGAACAAAACATGCCTGCCTTTGTCTCGCCAGGCATGTTTAGGCTCAATTATTTGAAATGCATGCATATATTTACATTTTTATGCAAAAATTTACTTTTAGTGTTTTGCACAAATAAACCTATACACTGATATATATATTTTCCTCAACTACAAACCTTATTGAATCAGGATTTTATGTTTTGGACCAATGCAACGATTATTTTAGTAATCGATTAATCTGTTATTTTATCGATTAATCTGATAAAAAATGACTACATTGTGCAGATTTTTCACTTAACCACTTAAGTCTTTTTATACAATATTAAAAATACATTAAAGGTGCAAATAAACACTTAAATATTTTGAGCTTGGACTCATTGCAAATTCTTTAGTTGTTGACAGGAAAAACATTTACACATTTTAGTCAAAGTCAGGATTTAGGTCAGTCCTCAAAAATTTCAGATTATATAATACAATGTAGTTATATTTATTTTATATTGTGATTTCGTATGAATCTTCAGTTTGCATGTGAAAAAAAAGTATTGTTTACATTAAAACTGGACAAATAATTACTGACAAAGCAGACTAAGTCCAAATGCAAACGTTTTGTCAGAAGTTTGTAATGAACCTGTGAATAATTGAAGTGGAAATTTCATTGAGTACGTGGTGAGAACGGGGTTTGGTGGAGCCCAGAAAACCTGTGGCTGTGTTCATGCTTAGCTGGAGGTCAGGTGAGGTCACGACACCAAGAAAAGGCAGGTAACAAGAGGAAAACAATTAGGTCAAAGGTTCATCTTAAAGCGGCAGCGCTGGATTTCTGAGGCGAGGTTCTGTTGAAGGGTTAATAGTAGTTAATAGCTTACTTGTGGAACATGACTGGACATTTTTATTTAATATAAATTATTAATATTTTTACAAAAAGAGCCTTCTGATAAACTTGAACCTAAAAAAAAACTGATTTAAATGATTATTTTCATTATTGTTAGACAGTTCTGGTTAAAAGCTCTGATTTCAGTGCTTCATTAATGACTCATGATACAACATTTAATACAATTAATCTTACGCTTCTTTGTAAACAGATAAGTAAAATAATTTGCCCTTCCTTCATAGTTTCTTATTGAAAAACACACTTAAAGGTTTTTTGATAATTTCAGTAAATTTACAAATATAGTTTTTAAATCGTTGAATTTAAAAAAGAAAAAAAGATTATGGTGCCACACACGTCCTGTTAAATCATGAATTAACTATAATTAATATAGTTAATAGGTGGGACATCTCTGCAGACCCCACACATCCTGGACACAGACTTTGCACGCTTTGCACTCTCCTCCCACAATTTTTGCCTCAAATAGAGATACTGCTGCTACCATAGGAACAGACCAGGAGCAAAGTTAAATTACTCATCTCAATAATTTTATTCTTGGATGGATTTCTTCCGGAGTGTTATTTTCTTAAACTGTTTTATAAAATATCTGATTGAGGTGCAGATGCATAAACTGAAAAAAGGGACATTTATGTTCAAAAACCTTTTCATTGTGACTAAAAAATTCTGCAAAGAAGACATGAAACAAGCTAGTTAAATTTTCCTTTTTAGAATTTTTTATTTTTTTTTTGCATTTGCTTGGATTATTTTTTTCCTGTTCTCAAATTTTATTGTAGGAAAGACACTACATAGGGTTGAGACCTTTTCCTGTTGTGGGCATCAGGGCCCGGCAAATACCCGTGTTTGAACGTTCGGCCGTAACAGGCGCTTAAATTCCGTGACAAAAAGAAAAGGGAAAAAAAAGAAACCCACTTGGTATTTTATTCTATGTTGCATGACTTTGTGTTTTGTGTTTATGATGTAAAGCACTTTGAAATGCCTTGTAGCTGAAATGTGCTATACAAATAAAATTTGATTGATTGAGATTTTAACGCACAGTAAAAATGTTCACGATTAATCACCTTTTTTTTTTGATAAAAGTCCCAAATTGAACCATTGCATTTTGTTTCTGATACGACCGTAAATCTGACGCACAAGCTACATTAGCAAACAGGACAAAAACGCCTCTCTTTTCCCAGATTGGGTTAATTTTTGCTTTGATTTCTTGCATCTGACCGGATGCAAGAAATGACGACTGCTGTGTTCAAGCACTGCTAAAAGGAGTTAGCATACCAGCATGTAGCAGCTAACACAGATGCTAACATTAGCATCAGCAGTCCACATTCCTACAAAAGCCCCTGACACACTTGGAAAAGTGTTTATTAGCACTTTGCTGCAATCTGATGGCTGAATGACAAATAATAGTAAATATTTTTGTTGTTGAGCTCATATGCGTATCTATTCAACAATTAAGCAGGAAAAAATGTTTTTTTAATTGAAAATATTGTTTACGTATTTAACTGTTCACAACCTTTTAACAGAACCTCACATTCAAAAGGTCTTTAGCTACCCCTTTAAGTTTTAATGTCAGGAGTTGTGAAAAGCCAGCCGACTGACTCCAGCATCTCCGTTTATCACTGTTCTCCAGTTAATCATCAGGCGCTCACTGAGCATGCTCAGAACCACCCAGCAGAAGCGGTAAACACCAGAAGATTCAAGCGATCCACAATTAAAACATTGGCAGACATTATGATCTGCGAGTGGGGGCGTTGATCCCTCGCTTTGCACTCTCCTCCCACAATTTTTGCCTCAAATAGAGATACTGCTGTTACCATAGGAACAGACCAGGAGCAAAGTTAAATTACTCATCTCAATAATTTTATTCTTGGATGGATTTCTTCCAGAGGAATTAAACATGTTCAACATAAGATTATAATGAAAAAGGAGGAGTTTGGACACCTTGTGCACTGCAAAAACACAGAATCTTACCCAGTATTTTGTCTAGTTTCTAGTGCAGATTACTTAATACACTTGAAATACGACAAAACTGACTTACAAGTAACTTTTCAGCAACATATCGGAGCTTGTTTTAAGTCAATTCCTTAATATTGATGAAAAAGTGCTACTTATCTGTAGGGCGCAAGTAATTATTTTAGTTATCGGTTAATCAATTATTCTGACGATTAATCTATTTATTAGATACATTAAAATTAGTACACTGCAAATTTTTTAACTTAAATCTTTTTACATCATATTAGAAATAAATTAAGATTCATTTAAGCTCCTTTATAAAGTAAGAAAATAAAAATGTCATATCCGGAGCTGCAACAACATAAAGGTCTTGATTATTTGCAGCAAAAGATGCATCTGCAGTTCATAAAATGCTTTTCCCATCAACCAATTAATAACTCAATTTTTATTCAGAATTTGAATCAGATGAAGCTAAAATTGCCAGAAGATATTTACAGTTTAATTAAAAAAAAATGTAATCTTAAATCCAAAAGGTTTTTGCTTAATTGCAGTTCTGTGTGTGTTGTTCTTTCAGCAAATTTCCTTTTTTTGAGTCTCTTTCCTCCAGTTAACAATTAATAGATTATTAAAGTAATTGACAATTATTTCAATAATCGATTAATCATGGTTAATCCAATTAATCAATTCAGCAGGAGTTATAGAAAAAGATTATAATTAGGATATAAAAATTTGGGCCACTAAAAATATCCGATATTAATAATGTTGTTTTGGCTGATAACCAATATTTACCAATATTATATGTATTTCTCAACTTGTTTTGACATTTTTGGGAGAGAAAACCAGAAACAGACAGCAACAAGATTAAAACAAATATCGGTTGTTAATATCAGCATAAAACAAGGTCCTACATGTTGCCGTTTAAGCAGAGTTGGGTAGCAATTAGTTACATTTACTTTCATGAGTAATTTTATTACTTGTTACTTTTACCTAAATAATTTTAGTATGAAGTATTTCTATTCTTATTCGAGTAAAATTTCTGGATTTTCTACCCACTGAAGTAAAAACAAACATGTTTTGACCAAAAATTCACCAAACACAGAGATACACCTGCAGTTTCTGTTAAGGTTTCATATGTTTTTTATTGAAATAAACTGATTTACAAACATTTTATTTTGCCTGATTTTACTATGTTTCTATTACTTATATGAATTATTGTCATTTCAGTCTTTAAAAAACCAAAACTTCAACTTAACTTTATATTTTTGTCCGTCTGATTATGTAATTTTGAAATTATTCGATGTTTTTACCAAATGCGTTTTTGCTCTTCATTGAGTAATTTCTTGAATTGGTACTTTTTTCTTTTACATGAGTAAAAATGTGTTGAAGTCGTGCTTCTTTTACTTGAGTTCAGTTTTTGGAGACTTTATTCAACTCTGCATATTTCAAGTGTATTGAGATATTTACACTAGAAACTAAACCAAAATATTTGGTCATATTTTGTGTTTTTCAGTTTTTCTCCTCAGGTGTGTTTGTGACAGTTTGGTCGTCCTCAGACGGTAAAGGGCCGGGGAGGAGCAGGAGGTGCAGGAGGTTAAAGGTTAAAAGAAGCAGGGAGTGAGAGAGGGATCACACGGTGGAAGGCGACACGTTTCTGGGTGGGGTTACCTGTAGCGGCAGTGCTGGCAGTGACATTGTGGCACCTCTGAAAACACAGCGAAATGCATTGAGACCATCATCCGACGCCAGCCTTCTCCGTCTTGTTCCTGCAACTAAATAACTGCCGTCTAAATTTATCCCTCGCTCAAGTTCTCTTCACACTCCCAGCGTCTCCGTCTTCACACTGCCTCCATCGCTCCTCATTACCTGAGTCTGTTTCTAACCAGCAAAGCTCCCGCCTTCTTCCTCTACATCTCCATAGCAATAAGTTCCTTCATCCTCCTGCTTTTATCTGCCAAAAAAATAAAAAAGAAGCTAATTTGGGCCTGTTTCTTACCCATCTCCTCCAGCTCTGAAGTCATTGATTTGGAGCGCAGGGCGATGGCTGGCGTGCTCAGCCTCTTGCTCTGCTGAGGGACTGGAAAGAGGAGAAGGCAGCCGCGGTCGGTCGAGCCGCTCCAGATGAGCTGCCGGTTATTGAGAGTGATTGCGGCGGCTCTTACTTTTCTTCCGCGCGCCTTCCTCCATGTCGGGGTTGCGGGTTACCATGACAACCTTCACCATGAGGCTGTTGCCGCCCTGCCGGATCATGTTGACGACCTGCCGGTGGCCGACCTTCACGACGTTCTGACCGTTCACCTGAGGCACAGAGAGAAGTTTTTATGAACATCAAAATTATTCTTCAACCCTCTATTCAGTCACTTTGACTAGGCCAAAGTTAAACTCAAAGGTGAGCACGCACGCTTCCTGGAACAGGTTAGAACAGCTACTGTTTTTACACAAAATCATTCTTAGATAATGAGATTTCAGTCTGATAAATTCATAATGAGCTGTGTTAGGGCTTCTTGTCACTTTAAATTAAACTATTATTGCTTTTGATAGATACATTTTTACAAACCGTTTTTACTGTTTTATGCTTTCATGCTTTTAAAACACATGGATATCTCTGATTAAATGTCAAAGTTGATATTTATAAACGGTGCTGCTATCTTGCCAGGGCCCTCTTGAAAAGACATGGTAGATCTCAACAAGGTTTATTATCTGGCTAAGTAAAAGGTTATTATTATTATTATTATTATGATAAATCCAAATGAACTTCTACTGGCTACGTACCTGAAAATGGCTGCAAACAGATGCACAATCTTACATGTGAGCAGAAGTGGAGCCTCCTGCTCAACCAATAAGAAGGCAGAAAGTGGTTTCTGGTTGGTGAGTCAACAACAAAACACTTGTGTTTTCCAGCAGCCGTTGTACAGCACATACACAGCGATAAAAGCTGACCAAATATGTTGGAACTCTGCTGGAGTTGCTAGGTAACGGGCGGAACTCTGCTGGAGTTGCTAGGTAACGGGCGGAACTCTGCTGGAGTTGCCAGGTAATGGGCGGAACTCTGCTGGAGTTGCTAGGTAACGGGCGGAACTCTGCTGGAGTTGCTAGGTAACGGGCGGAACTCTGCTGGAGTTGCTAGGTAACGGGCGGAACTCTGCTGGAGTTGCTAGGTAACGGGCGGTACTCTGCTGGAGTTGCTAGGTAACGGGCGGAACTCTGCTGGAGTTGCTAGGTAACTGGCGGAACTCTGCTGGAGTTGCTAGGTAATGAGCTGGGCTTCAGCTGGTAGCTGAGGGAGAGCAACTGCTGATTTGTGTCATTATGATCGAGAGGTTTTAGAAACGGCTTATTTTCTAGACACCAAAAAACATTAATTTAATGCCAAAAAACATCTGGGTAGATTTTCAGATGCTGGGCTGTTTTTACATAGAAATACAAATGGAAGAACAAAAACATGCAAAATGTAAATTTTTCATAACATGCCCTTTTTAAAGTAAGGAACTCCTTTCTGGATCTCCTTCAGGATTCTTTAGTAAAGAACAGATTCCATTGGTCCATTAATAACAAAATAGGCTGAAAATTCTTTAACTTGCACCAAAATCAACAGCTGAATTGTTGAAACTTTGACACAGTTAGGTTTTTCAACAAGACAACATCAGAACTGGACCAACCAGGCTAACATTGGACTCCCTGAATGGCCTTCTCAAAGCAGAGATCTCATCCCTATTAAAAATTTATGCCACATATGCTTAAAAGTTGGGTTCCTGCCAGGAAGCCAATCAGTTCAAATGAGTTCTACTAATTCTGCCAGTCACAGCGGCTCAACTTCCAGTCAAAATTATAACTTTACAGAAATGTTGAGGTGCAACTTGCTTCAGACAAACGTTCGTGACATTTTGTCTTTAAACTCGTTTCATAGCTGAAAGAGCCATTTTGCTCTCAGTCCAGCTAAAGAAAACTTTACAGCTGCAAAAGTTACATGATCTTTCAAAAAACAAAATACTTGCAAAATTGTTTGCAATAATATGGTTGAAAACATTTTCTATGGGATGTTATTTGTGGAAAATGTAAAAATATATATTTTTTCTAATGTTTATATATTTATATCTAAAGTCTGTAATGCTTGAAATTGAACTCAAAATGTTTGCTTGGACACAAAATCTTGATTCTGATTCTGAAAAAGCACATAATTTCCAACCTAATGAGAAAGACCTAAAACAGTGCTGGCTGTTTTGGTGTCACTTCTTTTTATATTTAGTGTAATTATTCCATCAAAAGCTAAAAGAGGGTTAACATTCTGTAAAGCTTTCTTTTATATTTATCAGTAAAAGTTGGGTTAGTTATTCCTAGTACTTTAAATACAAGACTGTGGTTTCAGTTGGTCCCTTATTACATTCTGCCAAGGTTTCGGTGGAAGGTCCAAGGAGACGTAATGAAAGTAACTAATGGAAAATTCACATTTCACACGTTTTAATCCTTCAATTTGGGTTTCTACTGCTTCTAAACCCAAGCACAAAAAAACAAAAAAACAGTTTTTTGCAATAGTTGCATAATTTTTGATGTCTGGAAAATGAGCCATTTCCAAAGTGTGGCGTCAGAAATCAGCAGGAACTGCCCGTTACCTAGCAACCTCAGTCGAGCTCCAGTGCAACTGGCCAGCTGGTTTTACCGCTGTGTGTGCTGTACAATGGCTGCTGGAAAAGACAAGTGTTTTGTTGTTCACTGACCATCCAGATACAACTTGTTGCATTCTTGTTGGTTGTGCAGGAAGCTCCACTTCTGCTTTTCAAACATGTGCGAATACATTATTGCGCATCTGTTTGAAGCCATTTGACAAGTGAGAGTAAACGTTGAGTTGGGGGGGCGTGGCCAGCAGCAGCTTTAAATATTTAAAGAGAGCAAAACAGCTCATTCTGAACTGAGCAGAGAGAAATAATTTTGTACAAAAAATATAGAAACATTTTTTGTATCTCCCATAGACCCATGCTAATCTGTTTAAGGAAGCATAATGATCACCTTTAATTTTCCTATGTTGATTTTATTTATTGAATGTTCTAAATCATTGCTGCACCTCGATGAGGAAATCCCCCATCCTGAGACCGGCTCTCCACGCCACGCCGCCCTCGTCCACCGACTCCAAATACTGCAGGGCCGGGAAGGCCGGAGTGGGAGTAAACTCTTCAATGGGAGTTTGAGCTGGGGACACCATGAAATATTAAGATCAAGTCGTTAAACGATTTTATTACAGAGAATGAATCAGTGTGACAACTCCGAGTTCATCTCAGATTTCTTACCTTTGGCCCCTCGCAACACAAAGCCGAATCCCTCGCTGTCTTTTTTCTGCAGAAGCACCGTCTTCTCCTTGATTATGTAGTCGCTATCGCAGAGAGAGGAGATGAGTCAGACGGTTAGAGATGTTACAAAACAGAAAATAAAGGGAATGCAGAATTAGAAAGTTCTTCAAGTTCAAGTTTCAAGTAAAAAGCAGATTTTTAATGGATGCCTTTGCTTCTTTCCACCAAAAACATTGAGAGAAAAAGCAGTGTCTGTACTGTTTTTATTGAACTATTAAACTTAGAACAGCTTTGATTTCAATGAAACCATTTAGGGAAAATGTTGAGTCTTTTAGAAATGGAGTGGCAGAGTTACTTCATCCTGTTCATACAAAAATCTGAATTAATCCAGTCAACATATTATAATAGTTGTGACACAAAATAAACCGATTTAGCAGTTGGTAAAATATAATGTAAAGAAGCCTGGGTGCTTGGATTCCATATTAAAAAACAGAACCCAACTATGAGAGGAAAAACAAAGGTTAAAAAGAGAGGTGCCCAAAATGAGGTCCAATGAACTATTTGTGGCCCTGGAAAGGATTTTGTGTGGCTCTCAACTTGAGTTCAATGCAGATGGAGACATACCAGTAAATTTCTTACAGTTGAAAAAGTTAAGCACAACAAAAAGTGTTCATCTTTATACAATCAAGCTTTTATAACCAGTAGAAACACATCTTTTCATTATAATTTCCCAGAACTGTCAGAGAAACTAGATGAACAGTAGAAAGACAACCAAACCTCCAGGTCTTCTAAAATCTGACAATAACTTAACAAAAACACTTGTATTATGATTTGAAATGTTGCTATTTATGTTTTTGCATGTCTCTGTCAACCAAAAACAGCATTGTGAAAACAACAATAACTCAGCTTGATTCAGCTAAAACTACAGCAACAAGCTGCTGCTTAAATAAGACTGAAAGAAAAACTGTAAAACATGTTGATGCTGTCCTGAATGCCAGTTTTTTATTTATTTATTTATTTTTAGCAAACCCGACAGCAGGAAATGCTATATACAGTGCAGCTTGTTGCTGCAGCAACAGCTAGAACTGGACACGGGGAAAGTTGAGCAGGGCCTGAGCCGAACCAAGAGATGTCCTGGTGAACTATTAGTCACCGACAGCAGAGCTGCAGGCTTACAGGTGGAGTTAACCGAGCGACTGAGCTAAACCGGGAGGAGTCACTGGCGTAAAGACATGGGAATTTATTCAACGAAAGCAATGCTAATGTTCTTCAGCAGAAGAGAAAATAAAATGTCTCCTCCAGAGGCTGTGCTAGACATTTTGAAGTTATTTATTTAATAGGAGTTTGTGGGATCAGTGGAGTTTATTCACAGTGTTTCAGGCAGAAAAAGGACAAGGGAGAAGAGGGGAAACAGATGCAGCAAAGCTCCTGATGTTGGGAGTGAAACTTTAAACATTGCGCTGAGGATAATCACCGCTGTAGAAGTGCGATGCTTTCTGGACCGGAATTGAATTTTTTCTCCTTAATGTATACGACTTTTTGATATCAGAAAATATTCCAGTTTTCTTGTAAACACGCAAAATGCCAAAATCTCTGAGTTATTTTGGGGGACATTTTCTTCTTGGTTGCCATGCAGGGGTTGGTCAACAGTATTATAAGCCTGGCCGCCCGCCAGACTCATAGTACTGTTGAGGAGTATTATAATCTTCGTTTGTGGTTTGTGTATTAATTTTAGGTTTTTTCAATGTTTGTCCTTTTTTAAGACTTTATAGTTGGTGGTTAGATATTGTTAATAATGTCTACCTCCAACACATAATGACCTAAACTGCCTTCACACTGCAGCCTGACGTGACACAAATCCGTTTTCTTTTTGGTTTTTTTGCTTTAATGCGACCCGTACTTGATCTTTTCATGACAGTCTGAACAACACAGATCAGATTTTTTTCTCACTTGGAAATCTGATCCAATGTTTCCAAATGAGACCTGAAAATCATTGATATTGAATAAACATCACTAATCTAGCAGGAAGAAAAGTTACGACAATGAGGATCAAGTTGTGAAGAGTGCTGGCTTAGAGTCGTAAAATATACTCCAACATTAGCATCTACATTTACTTCTGCAAACACTGAGGACGACGACGACTTCTAGTTTTTACGGCGGTTGGTACAACACTGAGTACACTTTCTATATGTGACGTTACTGCGCCCTCTACTGCGCATGCGGGACGCTTTCAGGTTGTTTGCAGTTCACACTGGAAATCACATACAACATATATTTGGAAATATGCAAAAATAAAAAATCTGATTTCACAAAAAAATCAGAATTGGGTCACTTCAGGCTGCAGTGTGAACGTAGCCTTAGTGATATTTTCAAATTTCCTGTAACTAATAAATACAGCAGGACGCTGGATGACTGCTGCAGCGCCCCAACCAACCACCAGGGGAAACTATGAAATGTTTTTCTAATATGTGAAGAACCTCAATCAATATATCACACATTAAGTTTTGGCTTTACTTCTAGTACATTTAGTAAATAATAGCTCCTATTAACCCCTTATTGAAACTTAATATAGTAGAGTTTTCATTGACTTTACGTTCACTGGTCAGCATCTAGCATATCTGCTGTGCTTCTCTTGTTATGAATGAACATATAAATCAGTACAACATATATATGGTATCAGCTGTACCATACTGTAACCACATGCCGATAATCCCATCATGCACCAAAATAGTCCCAGCCCATTCCATCTGTTCAGGCCGCTCGTTTCCTCTTGTTCCCATCCAGGCTGCTACTCCGTCCTGATCCCTCTCCGATCAGTTAGTTTCCCCCCCTAATCACATTTCCTCCTCTGAGATCTTTTTCATTCACTCTATTAAGTGTGTGATTCTGTCTATGAGCTTAGAGAGACACTCTGTCTCTGCCATCGCTGCGTTATTCTTGCCCCCTTTTTGTCTGTTTCTGCTGCAGCGGCTCAAATCTGAAACTCTCTCAAGCAGCGACTGAATTTATTTCATGTTCTCAGTGAAACGTTTAATTTTCATCCTAAAAACTTAATTGGAAGAAGGATTAAGTTCATTACTGAGCTGAGGTCAACCCACACAATCTTATCAAATAATTTTTTGTCTATTTTTTGTGCAAATAACTTATTAAACTTGAAATAGCAAAATTAAGTTACAAGTAATTTTTCAGCATGAAATATGAGCTTGTTTTAAGTAAATAATTCCTTAATATTGGCGAAAATCTACAAATTCCACTAGAAGTTTACGTAATCTATAATTTGTAAAATTAGAAATGAAATAATCTATATGTAATCTGCCAGTGGAACTAAAATGTCTATTAATATTGAGAAATTATTTACTTAAATTAGGCTATTTTTTGCTGAAAAGTTACTTTTAAGTTATATTTGTCTTATTTTAAGTGATTTTTTGTTCAAAACAAGTTTGTATTTATTCAGAACTTTTACTCAAGTAAGAGTAGTAAAAAGTAGAGCATAGTAAAAATATTTATTTCCAAAATGTTACTCAAGTAAAAGTAACTAGTTCTGACTATTAATTTTCTATTTGAATAAATAAATTAGTTTTTAATTGAATTCAACTTGAATTAAAGCAAAATACTGAAGAAAACAGTCAGGATATTCCAAAGTATTAGTAATATAAACTCAGACCAATGTGATTATTAAATTATTTTAAAGTATATTTTAAAGTATATTTAAAATGTAATCAATATGGATGAATGCTGCTTTACTAAACACTACTGTCTGTCTCTCAGCTAATAACATCACATTTAGAACATCAAATCAATAACTTTGATGTATTGTATTGGAATTTCAATTATAAATATAACTCTTGGAAAAAAAGACTTGCAACTGCATTACCTTCGATTCAATCAAATACCCTTAAATAAAATCCGGTACAATTAACTGTTTTAGTAAAAGGTGGTTCTGCCGATCGCTGATTATCGATCTTTTAAAAAGATTTTGTTTTTGTCTGAAATGTTGCTCAATGAAGGACGAAAGCTGCTGAATTGGCAACACTGAGGTGATTGTTGTGATCTGTAAACGTGCAGACATGATGTGGCGGGCCGGTCTGTCAGTTTCACAGGAGAGCAGAGGACTGTGGCTGATTTTTAGACCTTTGCCGAGGTGGGTAAGATCGGCTTCGCAGGTAAAAATCTGCAGATCACTGATCTCCCAAAACTAAGGAAATTGGCATCGATAAATCAGCTGGCCAATAAATCGGTGCACCCCTAAAGAACAAAACATCCTGTGTTGTTTTCCTTCCACTTTTTGCACCAAAATGTGCTGATCCCAGTAAAACTCCCAATAAAACACACTGACATTTATGTGAGAGTAGAAGCAAAAACAATCCTTTTAAATAATCTGACTGAAAAACAACAAAAACTACATGATGCGTCCCTGATTGGCAACAGAATGAGAACACAAACTAATCCGCTGTGTTTTCTGACTGACCAGCAGACCTCCATCTGCATCATACGTTATTCAGCAAGATGACACAGTGAAGCAGATCTGTGTTAATGCACTTGGTGCTTGGTGAGTGTAACTCACAGGCTGCCACGTGCCCCACAGTGTGAACAAACACTGACAGAAACAGCTTCAGCTGGCTGCTGCAAGGAGAATGTTGTACTTATAATCAGTCTGGTTTAGCGGCTGCATCACATCCAAACGGCGTGACTCTGACTCACCCTCTGATGCTGGCCTCGGCACTGAGCAGCATCAGCTGGCCCAACTAACTGGACAAGACTTCTCGACCAAATGGGAGTTTAAAAAAAAATCTGTCACTTTGCTAAACAGATCTTTCAGTCTCCTGCTTCCCCAGGGCTGCTGAGTTTCCACTGGGTTTCCACTGGGTTTCCGGTAGGGACGAGAATCAACAACCAGAAGTTGTTCTCAGTGGTTCTTGCTTAATGATTCCGCTTATCGGTTCCCATAATGTACGACATAGTTCCATGACGACGTATCGCACACGTGCCGTGTTTTTGCTTTAGAAAATATTCAATATGGCGGCAGAAGAGTTCCAAAACTAGAGTCGGCTGGAACATGCTCAGAACTTTAATCGTAATAAGA